AATGCCATGACCTGTGGAGGTCATTCTAACCCAACGTTCTCTTAGACTTTAGCATGCCCGGCACAGTCTTCTCGCACCTCGCAGCACCAGACAGACTTCAGTGCTATACTCAGAGGCCATTTTAACCAGTGAAATCACCAACAAAAAGCACTAAACTGTGAAAAACATGGCACTAAATAGACCGTGAAAAGAACACTCGTTTACTATATGAGAGCTGAAACAAGAAGCATTGCCTTGTTCAACCTCAGCTGGGAATATGTGTGCAGGTGACGCCAATTTTTTGCAGATCTGCATGTATCAGGGAGCATTGCCAGTATTGATCTGGGAGTTATGACTACATTTTAACAAATAGGCGAATTCGCAAACATGGAATCTGTGACTGGTGAAGTTCTATCGCACACAGAACTTGGAACTTGGTGCACATGGTGGTTTCTAGTCAAAGGCCCAGTTATTTAGTACCTGCTCCATGGAGAGGTGGGTCCATGTCCTCTCCCCTTGAATGTAGGAAGAGACCTCACTGTTGCGAGTTCAATTCCAGTTTGTGCAGAAGTGATTGGTGTTTTCAAGGGAGAGGGCAAGAGCAGGAAGGGTGGCGGGGGGGGCTTGAGCAGAGTAAAGAGGTGAAAAATTACTAAAATTGGGTTAGAGAGTTGGTCAGTGTTAATGTGATTAGGTCATCTGTGTCAAAGTGGGGCTTCTATCCTCCCACAGAGACTGGGAAACTGGGAAATCACCCTTCCCGATGATTATATTTCAAAGGAATGGCTTTCAGTCCTTGAGAAAGACACTTCTGGGTTGTAGGAGATACATATACATCTCAAAGGGACGGGGAAAGGATTTATAATAAGTTTTTAGTAAATACTCTAAGAAAAGGGAAGTCAGGGGCCTATCCCCAAGTGTTGGCTGGAACAAATGCTAAATTCTTTCCGTGCACTCGAGCTTTTCCAGACAGAAACTCATCTGGGATGGGGGGTGGTGGGAGGTGGGGGTAGGGTGGGCTGTCCCAGAGACAAGGCCTTAAGCTGCTAGAATTCCCACTAATATTTGCTCAAGTCTCTTAGTGCAGGGGTTTTGGATGGAGTCATTCGTGCAAAGTTTTTGCAGTTCTCAACGTCATGGGGCAGAGACAAATTATCCCTCTGTGTATCTGCTTGCTGAGCCTCTGCCCCACATCATCGGCAAGCACGATAAAGTGGTGGCTCTTCTTACACCAAGGAGTTTGGGGGAAGTTTGGGAGGCAGTAACAGGAACTGGAATGTTGCGATTCATCTCCTCTGCCAGGAGTGGCCCCCAGCCTCCTGCCTCGAACCAGTGTAAATAAACCAGCTGGATAAAGTGCCTTGGATGGATCGCTCATTCCGTCCTCAGAGTCGTGGTCTGAAGAACACTCAGCAACTGGGCTGCTATGGGTTGAAACTGGAAGAGAACCATTGTTTTACTTGGCATCCAGCCCATGATTGGCTCCAGGATAGTGGAGGGTGATGGGGTGAGAGGTGGAGTGGAAAAAGCCAGTCAGCTGCCATCAAAGCTCTGTTGACTGACAGCAAAATTGGACTAGCAAGCAAAGAGCATTGGTGTGGGGGGTTGGGGGGGACTGCAGTGAGGAACTGTGCAGCAGGGGAGAAACAGAGGGGGGATGTCCAGCAGGATTTCCATAGTGGCCAGAAGGTAAGAAATCATCATGTTACAGACCTTCAGAGCAGATCTGACTTCAGAGCACACTGTATCCAGCCTTAAACATTTCCATCAAAGAGTCCCAAGGCAGGGGAGAGGCCGACAACAATTGAGGAAGTGCCCTTGGAGTTTCCCATTTTATTTCAAGGATTTATACTTCATATGCTACAATATGTATTTTATTTTATAAAGTGCTTCCCTTCTCCTAACCTTGCATCACATCGATAGCTCAGAAGCTGCATCATGCTTTTCATGTGGTCTGAATAGCCCTCAGATGCCCGGACTTAGTCCAACAGCCTCATTCCACAAGTAGAGCTGTCCAGGCAACCATTCCTTCCATGTCAGACATGGCATTAAGAACTGGGGGGGTAATGATGAATAAGAAGTGACTCTTGCCATCAGGGAGCTGATCACACATTGGGAGACAGAAATGTAAGTGAATGAATCCACAAGACTTGCCCAAAGTCTACAAGTTGGTGGTGCTGGAACAGAGACTTACATCTAGTTCTGCTCCCAGTGTAGTCTGTTTGCTTCCACCATACTGCCTCTCCTTCAAACACTGGAAAGACCCCAGAAAGAGGACGGGCATCAGACATTAGTGAAGTGGAAACATTGGGCTCCTTGGTTTCAGCCCCTGGATCCTGTGTGAGAGGGTAGTTCACAGGGCACCCATATATGGTCCCAAATACCATTCCTGAAAATTGCTTGAATGTTTCAAGTGCCTATAATTAATTGTTGATTACTAGCTATGATGGTGAGTTTAGCTCTCTCTGGTGGTTCTGAATGGATTACCAAATTCAGCTTCCAGAATAATCTTTCACCTCTCAGTTACTAAGACTTTCATGTATCTTCCCAGCTCCTTCACTTGGCATCAACACATTTTTATTGAACACATACTATGTGCTAGACAGTGAGCTAAGTTCCAGGAACAGAAATAACAAAAAATATTCTTCTCTTCCAAGGGCTGAGTCTGGAGGAGTGGCATGTTGGTAAAAGAACTTTAAGCAGGTTCTTGGCAGTCTGAAATTAAGAATATAGTTAGTCATGGTTTAAGAGTTAGTTTTCCCCTGGATCTGTTCCTACCTACCCTACAAATTCCTGATAGTTTGGGAGCAACAAGAGAATGTCTCCTGTGGATTAATTCTCTTAATGGCTTTCTCCCACACCTCAGTGGTTTCCTATCGGCATTTGGGCAGGACAGTGCCCCCCCGCCCCAGCTGGCTGATGCCTGATGCCCAGCTCCAGCCAGACTGTGCTGCTTCTTTGGGAATCTCTTGATAGGACTCTGACCCCAGGTACCATAGACTATTAGTACTGAGGCTGCAGGCACCGTCACTGAGGACCCCTAGTCTGGGCAACTGCCCACAAAGCTAGAGATGGAGGTGTGCCAGGCTGTACCAATAAAAGGAGAGAGTTTGGACTTGTCCAGGGAAGGCGTGGGTAATGCTTGGTTGGGGAATGAGCACAGAAGCAGGACCACTCTCTCACTAATCTCTGTCTTATTTTTTACTATGCCTGCCACGTATTTTCTTTGTGATCTTTAAAAAATGTCATATCCTCATTTAGGATTTATGGAAAAGGAATCTTTTTAGATAATGCCTTCTCTGTTCTCCTCAGCCCCACATCTCTTCCCTTCATGCTACTTTTACCTCTCTTGCATAGAAACAAGAGGACTCAGTGTTGGTAGTGTTGGGATATCCTTTTGGGACCTTTGTGATACCCTTGTCAATAACTCTTCCCAGTGCAGGAGGGAATGCTGCTATTGGTGAACACTTAATGGCCATGGATACTTTTAACGGGTTAATGGGTTGAGTGATCCATCTCTCTCTCTCTCTTTCTCTGGCCCCCATCTTTCTTGAGCCTGAAACCTGGAGAGATAGAGAAGGATAGGAAAACCCTTTCCTGTCTGCATCCAAAGTATGCTCTCTAGGCCAGCCTCACCTTTAGGAAAGCTATTATTTTGATCTGACTTATGTCTGTTCTGTTTGGGTAGAAAACTCAGTTGGAAGAGGAGGATTATTCCAAATCCCCAATATGTCATTTTTCTATTTTACTTGTTTTTGGTTTATTGCCCCTGGCTCTAGGATTGAACACTTGAGCCCCCAGGGGCTGATTAAATCTCTTTTGGAGCTATGCTCACTACTCTTTCCTCCAACATTAAGATGCTTTTTCAAGCAGATGTGCTTTGAATCCTGATAAACATGTTTTCTTCTTTGGAGGTTTCCTGACCCACCTCATCAGTCTTTTTGTGGGTTCTGAATTTTAGGGTGAGCTCAGTTTTACTCAACCCAGAAATGCTGCTACTCACTCCAGGGTGATAATCGTTCGAGTGCAGTTCTTCAACTTCAAACTATTGACATTTTGAACCAGATAATTCTTTGTTGGGGGGAGGGGCTGTCATGTTGTATGTTTAGCAGAAATCTTGGCGATTCCTATAGCACTCTCTCCCCACTCTCCTACCCCTCAAATTGTGAAAACCAAAAATGTTTCCAGACATTGTCAAATGTTTCCTAGGGACAAAAATCATTCTTGATTAAGAATTATTGTTCTAGAGAAAAATAGACAAGGTGGAGGAGGATCAGAGAAGTGTCTCAGTCTTTCTGGCAGGGTTAGTGTAAGCTTCTCAGGGAGAGACAGAATTTAATCTGAGTTTTGTAGGATAAGAGTTCCCTAGTCATCACAGAAAGAAGAGTTTTTAAGGTACAAACAAGGAGGTGTTCATGGCCCTCTGTGAGGTCTTCTCGATCAAAAAATGATACCACTCTTGCGTATGCCTTTGAACATCCTAGGGATTGCCCGCAGATGCCTGGCTCTTGCCAGTCTCATTTTTACTCGTTCCATCTGAGTAAATTCCATGTCTCCATGTCCAAATTCTAACTTTGCTGACTACACTTGTTATGCTATGTACCATTTTGGAAAAAGGACTGGATTTCCAGAGTAAGATCCTCCAGAGATGGGTTACTTTCTCTTAAACATTATGTCTACATGTTGGATAGATTGAGGAAGTAGGTTCTACTGTGAGCTGCACGTCTGAATACACTGAACCTGGTGCTGAGGAGAATTCTAGGCATCACTTCAGATCATCATACGGTGGGCTGTGTCAGTTGTATGATCATTCAGGAGAAGAGACCTACGTTCTACCTCACCTGGGTTGTGACTCATCCGGGGACATAATGAGCTGGGGTGGAAGAGAAAGGAATCTGCATGGAGTGTGGGAGGAAGAAACTGGCATCATCCTCCTCCAGTTGCTAAATTCCAGGGTAACACTGGTGGGTGGTGGGAGTCTCACAGCAGGAGTAAATGAATCACATGGAAACATCAATGAGTTTAGCCATTTATTAATACCACCCAAAGGCAGGCTATGATTACAATCTGGTTTTAAGTACTGAGGTACCCACCAAGGGACCCCTTAAGGAGGCTGGGCCTGGCCAGCACAGCACAGAGATGCAGGGAGAGCAAATGGGTTGGGCCATATACATTATACAACCACTTTGGAGGACAGTCATAGGTAGAACTGTGCTTTGCCAACTATGTGGTTTTTTTTAAATGGTATAATTTAAAATAATAATACTAATAATAACAATATTTGAATTTGCAATACAACAAAACAGGAGTAGCATCAAATATGTTGGCTAAGTTATAGCACCAGGCAATTCATGTCATGTGGTTTCTCCCCTGAAAGTGAATTGCTGTGCACTGAGCACCAGATACACTGTCCCCTGGCTTCAACCTAAAGTCAGAGGGAGAAGAGCTAAGACCTGCAATCTCTGGGGTAGCAATGTGTAGCTCTTAGAGTTTGAAGGATTTAAGCCAATTGATTGGGAAATGATAGTCTGAAACAATATAAATCTCTCAAATTTGCTTCAGAAACTTGATGAAATCTATCAAAAACATTCCCTAAATATCTGAAAGCACCACATTGGGACGCATGCACCAAGAAAGCCCATCATCCAACAAGTCATTCCCACAAAGAGGCAATTGTAGTATCCACGAAATGATTTCCCTTTTTAGAAAAGTATTCACTAGTCTCTTGAAATACTGTTTTCTCATGGTGCACTAAATTATGTTTCAATATTCAAGAATTAAATTAACCCACAACTTTTCAGAGAACAGCGAACTCTACCATGTGAAAGGCAATGTAAACCAACATGGGTTCGAGAACCTTGCTGCATTTAAGCACCAGACCCTGCGGTGGCCTCTCTGGTTCATGGTAGATGGGTATCCAGTGTGTCTTGCTACACCTCTCACTTGCTTGTTCAAGGTGGGAAGAAAAGAGGACGTGTGTTAAATAAACCAATGATGCTGCTTTCGTGTTGTCCCCTGTGAGCTCTGAAGAAATGGTGAAGACACTGTCTAGGTTCTTGTCTTCAGAGTCTCCCCTCTCTGATCGCAAACACAGGGACCTGTCAAAAGCCTGATGATCCAAAGCTGAGTGATTGTCAAGGTAACGACTGTGTCAGATGACTCTAACAACAAGGGCTGTTTCTATCCTGGAGTCCAGAATAATGGATGCCACACAACTATCCCACAACGCAGCCTCCACACAGGAAGGGAATGTGTGAGATGCATGATTAGGGGCTAATTTCTTGTCTTTGAGAAACTGGAGAAAGGCCTAGAATGGAGTATCTGGGCAGACCCTCCCCACATGTCTATCATCTTCTTCACCACGTGGGTCATAAATAACGTGGCCCACTTTGTGTATTGGGAAATCTGGCCTAGCTGAGTTTGCTGAGGTCAGTAGGGATCTGGGTTTATTCCTGAGTTTTGAAAGACTGGTCATATCCAGGTCTCTGATGACATGCATAAGCCTCTGATAGCTAGTACAGTACCAGGTGAAATAACTCAGCCCCAGTGACGACATTCAGCCCCCCGAAAGCCCACACTCCACTCCAGGAACAGTCTTAGTGAACTGCCTCATTAGAAAAAACCAGATTCTCCTCTACCACTCACATCACTAACCATTTAAGCCTCTCCTCTCTAAAACTGTCATTTCACCAGAGATTATATCATCAGCCAGCAATGTTTGCCTTTAAAGACAGAGAATACAAGAACGTCATCATCGAGAAATAAACTCCCTGGCTTCAGGTAAACATGTCTGTTTTCATCCTGTTTCTCTTCTTTCTTAAGTTCCATCCCAGCCCTAGTGTTTTATTTTCTACAGGAGTTTATCAGAATAATACACATTAGTGGCTTGAAAAAAAAAATACAAAGCACATCATATAACAACGTTAAGCTTCTAGTGTCCAAGCAATAGAACTGGCATTGGCCAGCAACACCATTACACGTTTAACAGATGCGGATGGACTTGCCCGCTGGTACATCTATCTGTGTGTTTATATTAGTCCTGCCACCTTCTAGATACTAGCACCGTTTTTCGAGAGCACCATTCTGCTGAACGGATGGGTAATTCAAGGGAGCTAGGGCACACTGTGCTCCATGGGGAATAGCAACTGCCCTCTACCTGTGCACAAGTCTGCACGACGCTGCTGCTCACAACGTGAAGGCCCCATCCCTGCCTTCCCCTCTGTCAAGAGGCCCCCACCCACCCACCCGTCCTCACTCTCTGGGTTCAGATCATGTAAATGCCTCCCCTTACAAACTAGGAAAGTTGCCTTGTATTTGAGACCACAGCCTCCTGATGGGTGGTGAGAACATCCAGAATAAGCATTTTCACGTTCATTTCACTGTTTTGGACTCTCCTGACTTGGAGAATAGATCAAGGAACAGACCTTCCAAAGTAACTATTGGGTGTATGGGGGTCATGTTTAACCTCACTTTGAGTTGTGGGTTTTTTCCCTCAAGACTAGAAGTTTGTATCAGTTCTTGTACTTAATACAGTTGACCTGGTCCTCTGAAATATTTTGATCTTGAGCTCCATCTTCTGTCCTTGGGGTAAGTGGGGGGGTGTCGCCCCCACGGACCTGGCTATGGCAGCTCTTGTGCAGGAACCCCCAGCAGTGGAAAGACAGTTGGACCTCTGAGTTGATGACTCAGGCAGGGAACACACTGGAGAGGAAGTCAGACGGGAAGACTCATCAGCTCTTCCCCAAAGGAAAGGTATTGGCCAGGAAAGTAGGAAGTATAAAGGTCCATGTTTCTTTTCTTACACCGGCAAGAAATTGATTTCTGTTCATTTCCTTTTTAAGAGTTTTCATAGAAATTATCCTTGAGTCAGAAACGTCTTCCCTAGAATTAAGCTAAATCCCTTACCTTTGCTAAATCCTACAGTTTCTGACCATTTCCTCTCATTTCTCATGTCTCCAGGCAGGCACAGGAGTCTAAAGAGCCCAGATACCGAGTCTACGGGGGCTGAGTGATAATAGCCAACACTGTCTCTCCCTGCCCCAGCTGAGTACTGGCTAAAGAAAGTGGCCCTCTGCCTGGGTGAATTAAAGGAATGTTTCTGAAATCTCTCCCATGACATATTGAACAGCAGCTTCCCCAAGCAGGGAGGGAAAAAAAGGATGATTTCACCAAGGTAAATCAACAAGACTGCTCCCTGGATGCATGTGGTTCTATTTCCTGATACTCCTGAGGTAGTCTGGGAAAAATCTGGTGTCTTCGTTTTTACTTTCAAGGGGGGAAAAGACATCATGTCACTGACTTACCTAATTTGGCACCTTTCCCAAGAGCACATCCCAGGAGATGCCTGAACCTCTTGGATATCTCACCTGTCAGGGAGCAGCAAACATTACAGTCCCATGCCTTTTGCAAGGGCATTTAGTGGCTAATAAAACACAGGGGATTTTGTTTTGAGCCAAAGTTGGACTGGAAAACCTCAGTGAAGTGGTTTCCTGGGGCTAGAATGCAGTCGAGTCAGTCCCCGGGCTGCTGCAGTCTGTGGTGGGGGGTGGCTTCCTTCTGGACTTAGAATGCTTTGGGGTTTTTGAGCAACTGTGGCTTTCTTGGCCTTCGGGTGTGGACGATGTGTGTCTGGGAACATGAGAGGCAGCACTGAGCCCTCACAGTGGGCACAGAACATTTCTTCATGGTTTTTAGTGTTTGGCAGAAACTGGCTGATAAGTTGTCCTTGGTGCAAAGTAAATCTGTGGAAGGAGAGAAAAATAAAACAAACAAACAAAAAAACAAAGATTATCCTTTGTAAGTGAATGAGCACAACTTCTATTAATGGAAGATGTTATATGTCTACCCAGAAAGGCTTCACAATAATTCACAGTAGTTGACATCCACTGAACAGTGATTATGTAACAGACACTGTGCGAAGTGTTTGTGTTAAACTGAATTATGAGTCACAGTTCTTCACTCCTGTGTAACAGTGTTATATACACATTCCCACCCTTGCCATGGCTGCCTGGTGGGCGGTGAATACTTCACTGCTCGACTTTGGCTTCAGCCCAATACTTGCTTTGGACAATGTGGTATCAGTAGAGGTGATCCTTATGGGGCCTTGGGAGGTGCAGGGGGATGAGCCTGGCCTGATGAGCTTCTGCTGTCCCCAGGAGAAGGACCTGGTTCGCACAGCTAGTGGACCACAGAGGATGGGAGGCACATGGAGCAAACCTAGACCGAACCTACGGCTGGCAGTCAAGGCCAACCAAGGCCAAGCTAGATTAGCTGAACCTTAGCTGACCCGCAGACGCTGAGCTAACTACACATGATGGTAGTTTTAGGGCCCTGGGTTTAGAGGTGTTTGGCTCTGCAATATTGTCATGCGATAGTTGAACGCGATATTTCACGTGCATTGCTTCACTTAATCTCCCCAGCAGTGCGATCAGGCAAATAGGAGTCTTTCCATTATACAAATGAGGACTGTGAAACCTACAGAAGTTAAAAAGCTGCACAATGTTACCCAGCCGGTAAGTGGCATAGCCAGAGCTCAACAGAGACAGTTTTACCAATCATACCATTCAAAGCACCAGACAGTAACCCAGCTAGCTGACTAACCAACGAATTCTGAGCAGAGCTCAGCAGGGCAGAAGCTACAGATATATAAAATGTGATCACTGCTCTCCAGAAATGTACCACGTAGATGAAGACATAAAACATACACAGATAATTCCCACAGTAAGCATCCGATGAGTTACCTGGATTCTAATCCTTGTTCTACTCTGAAACCTCTAGGCAAGTAAGTCCCTCATCCACCCCCCCACCCCCACCCCTTGGCCTGATTTCCTCATCCAAGATGCAGGGAATTTCTCAGGGGTCCCCAGCACATACATTCTAGGAGCGGCACTCAGGTTGGACTGGTCCATGTACTCTTGGGCTGGAAGATATTCAATAAGGCCCCAAAGAGCAGATTTTTCTTCTCTAAAGTGAAATTGTTTCAAACTTTGCCTGAGTGCCTCTCTGACCTCTGGTTGCCTTGCTTTCTTCCTTACAGAAGAGATTGGAATAGTTTTGAAGAAAAACTTTTTTCACAAACAGGCTCCTGTCTTCTGTCAATAGGACTGGCAGTTAAAAGTAGAGATTGAGGTACTATCCTCTTTACCCAAAAACTGTGCAAGTATTTTTTCCTCTTTCTGCCTTTTTTTCACCTTCCAGTCATGAAGGCAAAAAAAATGCTTTTAATCTCCTCATAGCTCATCATTCTCTTGACGGGACCTTGTTTTTCCGCGAAGAAATAAATGTCTTCGGTTAGCTGTCACAATCCTATTTTGTTTGCAGGTTCGAACGGCACTTGGGAATTGGTAACACACAATGTTCCTAGAACCCAAAAATCTTCACTGCTGATTCTTTTCTTCTTTAGGCCTCTTCTTTAAGCCTATTATAAAATCCAATCTCTCCTAAAATCCCACAGGAAAGTTTCTTTGATGCTCTGTTTCAGAAGGAGTACACGTTTCAGCCAAGGAGTCCTACTGGAAGAAGAATTTGGGCTCTTCCTCTCCCACAGCTCCACGAGGGCAGCCAGTGTTCTCCGTGGGGTCTGGACCAGGCATCACGTGCACTGGTGTTCAGAACCAGGCAAGGATTCCTTTCTAGGCTGCTGGCTTTGGAACAGGACCAGCATGGACACCTGGGTGTCACGGGCCTGCTCCAATTTCTTAGCCAGTGTCTCCCGAAGCCCTTGTGGATGGTGGCTGGAAGAGGGGCATGTGGTGTAGCTCTCTGCCCCACATCTTCCCTGAAATGAGTATGGGAGTGCTCTGGGGCTACTTCAGGAAAGGAAGAAGACAGAGGAAGTGTGAGAGCTCAGCTTGCATCCCATCTCTTCACGAAGCTTCTCTTGGCCATGCTGGCCCACATGGATCCCCTCTGTCTCAGTCTCCCAATTTGCATTATTATTGTAACATTTGCTCAAACATAGCACTACATTCTATCTTGAACTGTTCTGTAAATGATGGTATGAGCCTTTTCTGATAAGGCTCTGGTATGATCTCTCAAGGGTGTTTACCATTCTAAAAAGGACTTCCTAGAGCCTCCCAAAGCCCTAACCTGTTGTGGGCTGAACTACATCCTCCAAAGTTTAAGTGTCCCCCAAAGTGGGAGTGGTACATGAATGTGACCTTATGTGGAAATATTTCTTTGAAGGTGTAATAATGATATAAATTAAGATGAGGCCATACCAGAATAGGGTGGGCCCTTAATCCAACATGACTAGTGTCCTGGAGGAGACACAGGTACACACAGTGAAGAGAAAGCCACCGGAAGACACGGACATCTGAGGGGAAGCTGGCTGTGTGAGGACAGAGGCAGAGATTGAAGTGACCCAGCTACAAGCCAAGGAAAGCCAGGGATTGTTCACAACCACCAGAAGCTAAGACAGAGAGCATGGCCCTATCGAGACTTTGATTTTGAACTTCTGGTCTCCAAAACTGTGAGAATACATTTCTGTTGCTTTAAGCTATTTAGTTCCTGGTAGTCAGTTATGGTAGCCCTAGGACAGTAATGCACCTCCTCCCCTATGACAACAGTCATAACAGAAATACAATGTATTGAGCACTTACCCCATACCAGGTAATGTACTTCCTAGATACCATCTCATTGGATCCACATAGAAATGGACTTGTAGGTATAGCTATTCTTTTAAAAACTGAGGTGTTCCAGAAAGGTTTAGTAACTGGCCCAATACTGCATAGCTGACATGTAGCTGGTGGCTGGGATTTGGATGTTGCTTCAGGGCCTCTAAAACTCGGCCACCAAGGGAATGAAGCTCTTGTACTGGCAATGGGGAAGGAGGGGGTCACATGGACAGAGTTTCCTTGAACACAGCATCTTCACTTGTTCAACACAGGCCCCCCAACTGTCAGGTTAGGTGAAACCTCCAGGAACAACAGAGGCTCAGCCACACCTGGTGTTCTTGCCTGATCTTGGGAACCATGGGATTATGAACTCTGCTTTTCAGTGGTCCTCGGAGCCCTGGAAGCATGCTGGGTCTTGCAGTCCTCCTGTTCAAGAGTGGGGGACTTGAAGGAAGAACGGATAGTGGTGGCCTAAATTGGGAGCCTGTGTTCCAGGCCCGTGTTTAGAAGCTCATTTAGACAATGACCATGAGCCTAACATCGTGGCATGGCTTGACTGCACAGTTCTCTTTATTATTATAAAACAATGAAGGCTTGTTGTGTTCATCAGCAAACTGGATCCCGGCCGAAGCACACACAATGCTTATAATTAGGGGCAACTTGGAGAGGAGATCCCAATTTGCCTCTGCCAGTTCAACAGAAACCAAGCTTGGAAATTTAAAGGGACAGTTAGAAGCTTGTTTCTTTGTTGTCAGCTGTGTCTAGGCTGAAAGGATAATATTTTGCCCACAAAAGAAAGCTGAAAAACAATTTCAATATTGCTGACAAATACAGTTTCTGTAAGAGTTTGGGTTCCTTGAGGCCAGGGGCTGTATTATACTCATTTCTGTATCCTCACTTTTTAGCACTTGTCTGAGACGTATCTTGTGATCCCTTATATTTGCTGAATAAATGAAAACATGAAATCCTATTCATCTGGAAGAATATTCCTGAGTAGAAAGTTTGCTGACTCAAATGTTCATTTGTAGCAACTCTGGGCCCAGGTACTGTCTTTATTACTTTCCTTATTCTTTCTCTTGCCTTCTCTACCCCTCATTCCTTAAAACAAACAAACAAACAAACAAACAAAATAAAACAAAAAACCCCAGGAATGGTGTGCATAAGAGTTTTGCTTTTGTTTTTTAATCATTATGAGTGTAATGCCTAGAATATACCCGATACTCAGTAAATACTTCTGGATAAATTAAAAAAGTTTTAACCTACTTAGGGTTTTACAGTCTCTACTTTGGAAATGGTAGTTCTGATTTAGAATTTAAATCATCAACAACTTAGATGGCATCTAAAGGAAGTAAAATGGCCTGGAGGAAAGCAAACCTTATGTGGAATTGATATCTGATCTTGTAAGATGGACACAGGGCATATGTCTACTGTGATGGCTAGCTGGCTGACAAGATTCCAGGCACTGAATGATTTATTTTCAAAGCATTTCAGAAGGCACAGGGGTAAGGGTGGGTGGTGGGTCTTTAAAAGCAAGGAATTTCTTGAAGCTGCTCTTCATGTTGTTTCTATATGAGTAAGCATGCTCTGCCTTCAAGAGAAGCTAGTAGTTAACTTTTGTTGCTCTGATAATTGTTGATGAGTGAAATTCATTGCTATTTATATCCATTGTCAGTCAGCTGTTAGTCATCATCTTGTCAGTGTGAGATTTCAAGAGAAAAAAATACCAAGCATGCATTTAACCTGGTTTTGATTATTGAAGATTGCACTGTCCAGCAATAAAACAGTTAAAGACCATCTACGTAGAATTGAACAGCCCTTAACACTGGGCATGGTCAAGCAGGACTATATTGCTGCAGTCTCCTGAGTGGTCTTCCTTGTCTATCTTCCACATGGCAGCCAGCATGACTTTCTCATCTCCACAGCCCTGTCTGGAATACTCCAGTTCTCCTTCTGCATTGGGGATAAAGCCCAAACTCCTTGGCATGCTTCCAAAGCTCCAGCTTTTCCCTCCAGCCCTACCATTCCTAGCTTCCCATGACCTTCATACTTGAGTTGAGTTAGACTCCTGTGCCATGACCTTGTATTCTTCCTAATTACTGTAGAAACTGAAAGCCTCTCCAGGAACCTCCCGTCTGACCTATCTATTCATCCTTCACTTCCTCTGCAGACCTTCCCTGCTCTCCCCAGTTTACAGTTAATGCCCTTTCCAAGAACTCTTGTAACATCCTTACCTCCCTTATCAGTGTCACTGGGTTGCAGCTTTGTTTCTTGTTTGACATTATGTTTACATGTAGTCAAGTCAGGGCCCAGCAAATACCTGCTGAGTAAGTGCATGATTTGTCAACAAGCAACCTCTAGGGAAAATCTTCTCAGGGTATGACCTCTAATGGCAGTCTCTGTTGAACATCAGCACCCTCAGTCCTTGGAAGGAGGTGAGGAATAGATTAACAGACCACAGCCTTCACTACCTCTCATCTTGAAGGATCTTCAGGACACAACTACCACTGTGTACAACCAACATGCTAGTTTTCAAGAGTTTTTCACTTAGCTGCTGATGTCTAGTAGTCAGTTCTTTAATTAGGGGCAGAGTAAATTCACCCTGACCCTCTAAATCCCAATCTCAGGACTACATCTATAAGAGGCATTCTTTACTTTGTAACAGATGGAACTATCAAAAAATCCTCTCTCCCTGCCTGAAAACCTTCTCTCTAGGTTTTTAATTTAATTAAAAAAAAAAAAAAACCCTCACATATCAATGAAGCCCCAAATGCCAATGGAATGGACATTAAAATTCATGTTTGAACCCATTCATAAATGGATAAGAAAACTATAGGCTACTGAAATGAGTAAGTTGCCCAAGGAAGGTAACTGAACCGGTTTGTTGATGGAATTTTCTTTTTTCTTTTCAAACCTACTTAATACCTGGTATTTAAAATCTTGACAATACCTTTGGAAGGCTTGTGTTATTATTCTCCTTACATCCAAAAGGAAATAGGTTCAGAGCATTAAATACCCTGCCAAGGTCACATAGATAGAAAGAGGCTGCTGCAAGATGCACACCCATTGCTGTCTGATTCCAAGGCTGGATTCCTTTCACCCCTGAGGAAGTGAGGCATGGGAGGGAGAAGGAGACCTGGCCTGGCACTCTGGCTCTGCAATCGGTCCCCCCCTGTATTCATAAACAGGCCTCTTAACCTTTCCAGGCTGTAGTTCAACATACTTAACATGACAAAGGTGATCAGAAGTCATTCAACTTGGGATGCTTTCTGAAAGTGGAGGTTGGATGTAGCAGACAACACTGATGCTCCCCTGTTTGGGTCTCCCTCCTTAGATTTGTTGCTTTGTTTTCATGTGTCACCCCCGACCCCCCAGTCCCAGCATCCCTGTTCTTTAGCCACTAATACCCAGAGACCCTGGCTCTTTTGGAGGATTGCCGACAGAGCCTACTGGAGCTGGTTTGTCTCTCCATGTAGAAAATTTTTAACACCTGCGAATTCCCTTCCGCTAGGGTAGCCCTTGGCCCATGGTTGAAAAGTGTGGGAGTGTGAAAGTCCAGCTCCCCGGCCTCAGGAGCAGACGGCTCCGACCCATGGCTTCCACCCTGCAGCTCCCCTGTGGGACCAGGCTGAAGCAGCCACCTGGCTGTGCTTTCTCCCTCCTCTGTCCTGCTTCCCCCACTCCCTTCACGGTTTTCCTCGGGAGCACTTCCGAAATGGATCCCTTGCACCCAGATCTGCACCTCAGAGCTGTTTCTGTGGAATCTGATCTAAGCTGGTGGTGCTGCATTGACAGAGAAGGCCGTTCAGGACATGACTGGTTTCCTGAGAAAGGCTGGCGCATCTCTCAGAAATCCCGGAAAAAGCAGAAGTGATTCTCATCTGTGTAGGATGACGTCAGTGTGAATGCACTCTGAGATAGGAAAATGGATGAATAACGCCTCAAGGAATTAGAGTCAAACCTCACCGAATGGACAGCTTGCTTTGAATGGAACTGGCTGGCCTCTTCAGTATAAAGATTCCTGGCGCAAAAAGGGGACTAAAACTATCCACATCAATTCACACGGGACACCTTATTTATGAAAAGCTCTCTCCCCAGCCGGCGAAGTCATTCACCCACCATCACTCTTCTTGCAGGCCTGCTGGCTGCATTTTCGGAATTCTGCAGGTCTGGATTCGTGATCACACAGGCATCGGTCTTCAGTCGTATTGTCCTCTGAGGAGACGCAAAGGACGGTCCTCTTCTGAAAGCCACCCCCACAGGAAGCGGTGCACTGAAAGAGAGGGGTGCGCGGAGAGTCACAAGTCTTCCCCAGCGGCACCACGGGGGCTCTAGCGGGGCCCTGCGGCCACCGTGCTCAAGTAGGGGCAAGTCCCCATTATCAGGAATCGTCTTGAAGGGGTCAGAGAATAAAGCCCTAGTCATCTGGAGATGTGAATTTAGGAGGAGGCTGTATTACTGACTGTGGACTGAATTTGGCTTAATTTACTATGGGGTTCTCCGAAGAATGTGGACAAAGGTTGAACAGCAAGAAGAATAGCATAAAATTTTGTATCTAGGCCCCGGTGCCTCAGAAATCCAGTTTCTCTGAACTTGTTTTGATTTGGGGCTGGGAATCAGTCGTGAGGAAAGAGAAATGGGAGAGGAAAACCATCGAGAAATGGCGAGAGAATGTGGAATGGGCCCGACTGGACCATGTGGGGCCTCAAGCCACACAGGTAAGATGGAACCCCAGTGTCAGGAAATGGCGGCCTACCAGCAAGGGAGGTTCTCTGGCCTGCGAGAGCGGCTTATGATTCCTGGGGATGTGAGAACATGTGTCTGAATTTATCACATACACTTGTGAAAAAAAAGTCTTTTTATTGTGTCTATCTATAAAACATAAAAATTCGCTATTTTAACCGTTTTTAAGTATACCGTCCAGTGCCTTAGGTGCATTTTCACTGTTGTACAATCATCACCTCTATCCTTCTCTAGAACTTTCTCATATTTCCAAATTGAAACACTGTCCCCATTAAATAAGAGCTCCCCATCTCCCAGCCCCAGCCCTAGCCCCTGGCAACCACCATTCTATTTTTGTCTCTATGAATTTGACTATTGTAGATACCTCATATAAGTGGGATCATACAATATTTGTCCTTTGGCCCTTGCTGATTTCAATTAGCATAATGTCTCCAAGGTTCCTCTGCATTATAGCACGCACCAGAATTTCTTTTAAGCTGGAATACTATCCATTGTATGTTTATACCACACTTTGTTTATCCATTCATCTGTTTGGTTACTTCCAAACTGTTGCTTCCACATTTTGGCTATTGTGGACCCCAGATACTCTAATGATTAACATCTATTTCATGTTTTATTTCTTTTAGCCTTATCTTTCTTATATAATCAAAACCTCGCAGAGGGCAGAAACCAGTAAGAAATAACTATTGAGCTGATCCTGAGTAAACAAAAGTGTGCAACAGAGGACAGTGGGAAGAACGAGGGAAGTTAATCAAGCCAGAATTTGACAAAGAGTACTGGACCAGGATTCCAGAGATTGGCTTTTCCACTTACTTCATATTGTCCTGGATCATTCGCTCAACCTCTCTCTTTCTCTGTAAAATAAGGTTGTTAGATAAAGAACCAATGCCTTCCCTCCCTGCTTTCTGCTCCTAAGGGTCTGATGGAGCCAGGCTGGGCTGGTCCTGGGTGTGGAAGTCCTCCTGGCCCTCTTGGGCAGGGCAGATTAAGATGAAAGAACTAATTCCAAGCCAAGCACAAAAATAAGCAGAGAGGTCACTGTCCATGCATTTATTAGTCAATGAAAACGACTTGTGATAAAGATGATGCATGAATTTGTGTGGTACTTAATTGGAGGATTAAGCATGGTTGCTGATTTGGGTTTTGTTAATAGTAGTAATGCTGTGAGTTGCGGGTTTTAGAGAGAAGGTGCACGTCTCTCAATGCTCAGTTCCACTTCTTTGGAACCAGCGACAATAAGGAATCTTTGTGTAGAACTGAGCATCTCAAAATAGGGATGGGGCTAAGGCTGATTAGCTGAACTCCACACTAGTCTCACTCAGTCATGGATGCCCTGTCCAATCAAAGTGCAAAGGTTCTCTTCAGCTTAAACTGCCCTGTTTGGAAATGTTGATTCTCAGGATTCAGCATATGATCGGCAAAGGTTCACCGTGTGGGCAGCTATAAAACTCTGGTGTTGCTACCACTCAAACAACATGGATGGAATGGAGAAATATGAACAGGAGGAACCATTAGATATTTTAGAACTAATGAAAGCATCTTCACCGAATAATTTTCTTGCACTTACTACTAATTCCTGGTAGGCACAGTTCTAAGTGCTCAGGAGATATCCTTGAGTTCAGTCCTGGTAACAACCATGTAAAGTCAGATTTGTTTTCTGCTTCTGCTGGTGTAGAAACAGGTCCTCCTCTCTCCTGACTTTCCTTTTTCTTATAGCATTTAATGGGCATGGAACCTCATGTTCTCCAAATCTGGAGAATTTTCTTCTATTAATTCTTTGATCACCTCATTTCTATTCCATCCCCATTCTCTCTTTCTGGAATCTTATTTTGATGTTATGTCTCCTGGTCTGATCCTCTACTTTTCTTTTCTTTTATCATATTTTCTTTTTGTCTTTGTTCTCCTTTTCTTGAGAGATTTCTCCACATTATCTTCTACTTACTTTTTTTACTTTTGCTATTATAAAAATTTTTAACTTTTTCTTATATTCTCTGAATATTCTTTTTATATAGCTGTGCTAGGAAGCTATGTCATGGATGTAGGCTCTTGTTTCTCTGAAGAGATTATAGTTTTTTGGGATGGAGGGAGTTCGATGTTTCTTTGGTTTTTCTTTTCAAGGTCTCTGTTCTTTGGAGTTTCTTTTGTTCTGTTTGTTATTTTGTCCTTGGTGTGATAGATTTTTTCAAATGTCCAGTAATCCTAGGCTATTGACTTAAGATGAGGTACCTATGAGTTGATTGGAAGTTGCATGGGTGCAGGTACTGACAGGTGGCTTTATATAAGGTGATCAGGAAGAGATCTATTATGTGAGGTTTTTTCTCTTGAGGCTAACCCAGTCCCCTGCCTTTGTGAAGCTCTCCTGGGGGAAGGACACTATTTATTGCATGTATTTTCACTTGATCATTGGTGAAATAAACTCTTTTGTCCCTACCAACCGTGACTGATTCCAAAGTCTCTCTTGGTTTGCTTCTCCAGTGAGAAGACCTCCAGGCTCTGGTCAGGATGTAGGAAAGATCTAAAGATCCAACTGTCTCTCTTTATAAACTTTTAACCAACGCCATTCCCCGCACCCCCCCCCCCCCACACACACACTGCTGTCTCAGAGGTACCTGGGAAATCTCTGCTATGGACAGTTTTCAGCTTTCTCTGGCATGCTAAGTCAACTGTAAGTTTGGCTATCTGCTTCTAGCTTCCAAAATTTTATTGATTTCTTCTCCAATATTGTTTCCTGGCCTCTTGTCTTTGTGGATTTGTGGCACTTTTAATTTTTTTATCTCTTCTATTGAATGCAGTTTGGGGAAGAGAAGCAAATGTATATGTTCAACCCATCCACATGTGTTACTTGGGCTCTATAATTTGCCTTTTCCACTTAATAATAGATGTTGGAGGTCAAGAGCAATTCCAAAAGCTGGCTTGGTAGGTGTTAGCCACCCTTCATGTCCCCTTGTCTTGATATGCACAATTGATGAATTTTTGACACATGGCTCTTCCAGGGAAACTTTAACTCATGTCCACCTCCAAGAGGCAGTTACCTCTAACTCTCTCTAAAGTAATTTTGAACTTCTGCTGTTAGAAATTTTTACAACTCAGAAATATAGGTCTACCTCATTCTTAAAAGGGCTATACTAATATAAATTAATAGATTAGCCAGTTCTATCAGAGCATATTAGGTTATTTTTAGGAATTGCTATTATAAACAACATGGCAATGAACATCTTTACCATCATTTAGGATTTTGTTTGATGGTGTATTTGTGGGCTAAATTATTACAGGTAGAGCTGCTGAGTCAGTCTATGTATTTTAAGTTTTTCACTGATTTTAATGCTTTCTGTTCTAACTCCAGACAGATGATTATAACTGAAAAAATGTGCTGGAAATTGAAGAACAACAAACACACAAAACCTCATTTTACAACTTGAATGCTACCTAAGAGCCAAAATGAGAAGCCGACTGCATTCTTACAGGCAAAGGGGGGTGTTTTTGCTAATTTCCTCTTCTCAGTGAGTTCCTTAAGAGCAGGATATGCTTCACACATCATTACTGTAATATTTGCTGGGCTATCATTATCTTTCTTGCCAGAAAGAATATCATTCAGCTTTCCTTTACAATGAATAATAAGGTACCAGAGCCTCAGGGAATTGACAGACTTAAAAATGTCCATCTGTAGTTGTTAATCTTCTATGAAAAAATTCCTGAGTGGGGCCCACATTTTTAACATTTTCATGATAGTTCATGTTACAGCAATTATTTTCTTCTAATGGTCATATGTGATTTGCTTAGTGATCCTTATATTGTTACCCAGGGTTCCAAGGTATTTTTTTTTTAAGATTTTATTTATTTATTTGAGAGAGAGAGAGAGAGAGAGCATGGTGGGGGGAGGGTCAGAGGGAGAAGCAGACTCCCCGCTGAGAGGGGAGCCCAACACAGGGCTCAGTCCTGGGACTCCGGGATCATGACCTGAGCCGAAGGCAGGTGCTTAACTGACTGAGCCACCCAGGCGCCCCCCACCCCAGGGTATTTTTGAAAAGCCTAATCCTGAAACACACATTTATTTGTTGGGTTTCATCTTACAGGTTCTGAACTCAATGGTGGATGAAGAAATTTGGTTTTGGAGTAACTGAATTTCTAGGGAACAGGAAATGAAGTCATTTTCCAAGGGAGATATTGTAAGATGCCCAAATATAAAGTGATCAAATTACATTTACATGAAAAAAATTACAATTGCATGTGACATTTTCCACTGTTCACATGACCCATGGGGACAGGGTGAAAGCTGGGTGCTAGCCCCGGCAGACAGCTTAGTGGGACGCATAAACAAAAGCTTGCTCTGACACTGGTATCTCCTTCGGCAATTCATCATGAATCAGCATTAGATGCCAATGAAAATAGGGGATTCACAGAAAGTACTATGTGCCCTGTCTACTTAATGAAGTGGCTGACATCATTCTTCCTTGTCTCCTGGACATTTTTCTAAGCTATGAAAATAATAAACGATGCATTTTTTATATTTTTGCAGGCTACATGATTCATGTACAATGTCCCTTTAGCAGTAATGAATCATCTTGTTCTTCCTGGATTCAAGTGGGTGATAGCCAGAGACCAGCACAACCTTGAGTTGGACGCGCCAGCAGAAGCCTTTCTCAAGAGCACGTGCCAGCCTGCGAACCGGTCATGGGCACGCAGGAGCAACCGCACCACTCTGAACAATGAGAATCAATAAGGGTATGGCGGCTGCAAAGTATCTGGGGGCATTACATTTGGCAAAAATACTGCATTGGCCTGTGTTATAACTATCAAAATATACAAGAACAAGCTACTTTAAAAAATATTAATAGTTGAGGGATTTGTGTATCAGATCCTCTTGCCCCCCCCACCCCCCCCCCACCTCCCCGTCTCCCAGTTGTTGGCTTTTGATCCATCCCAGCTGAGGTGGTAACCAACTTCAGGAAAGCACAGCCCAACCCATTGGCCTGCACCTCCCATGTTCATGCTGTGTGCCTCTCACCTCCCGACTCTCTTCTTGTTGAGACATGAGACACGGTGGGGCCTGCCCAATGCCCACACATGAATAACCCAGGACAATAGGGGATATTAGTCATCTGAGAGGAGACTTTTTACGCAATCCCAAGAGATAGGAGCCAATAGATCATCTCCTCCCTTCCTGCCCCTGGACAAACTACCCTAAGAGGAGGTAGTTCATACAGCTTTTAGAAGGCCTTCTTTTGAGAGCAAGCAACCAGTTGTTCCTGACCCCGAGCAGTGGTCAGTTAGGACACGTGGTCAGTTTGGTAACGTATCACCTCATATTCGTTTCCCCTCCTTCCCTCCCTCCCTCCTCTTTCCTGTCATCCCTACATCCTTGACATTGTATTTCCTAATAAAGTTTTAGATTTGGCCTTAAGACTCCATTTTCTAGAGAATCCAGGATATGACAAATCAGAGGGATGGCACAATCTGTCTATGGGAGAATTTTCTTTGTTGTTGGTGTCACTGATACAGTTACTTATATAACAAGTAAACTTTTTTTTTTTTTAAAGATTTTATTTATTTATCTGAGAGAGAATGGGAGACAGAAAGCATGAGAGGGGGAGGATCAGAGGGAGAAGCAGACTCCCCGCCGAGCAGGGAGCCCGATGTGGGACTCAATCCCGGGACTCCAGGATCATGACCCGAGCCGAAGGCAGTTGCTTAACCAACTGAGCCACCCAGGTGCCCATAACAAGTAAACTTTGTGAGGACAATAAGTCTTTCCCTCATTTGCAGTTTAATTTTTTGTTTGTCTCTTCATCCAACAGGCTGGCCATCTGGCAAGCTGATCTGCGGGTTGACAAGATCTGAAACTCACAAAATCAGGCTAAGCCTCAAGCTTCAGGGCATATCCACTCCTGATTGATTCAGGAAAAGCCCCAGGATCCAAGGTATTGGGACCCCAAATTGCCTTTCCTTAGGTTTTGTGCCTCTGGGATAATATTGGTATTTGATCTGTTTTCTTTTGATAGTGTTTGAACTCTTCTCTTCTGAGCTCAAGACAGTAAACATTGAACCACATGTCAGCTAAGGCTCAATTTTTAGCAGACTTAGAGGTATGGATGGCAGAAGAGTACCAGAACTAAAATATATAGAAACCCTCTGTAAATCAATGGAGACGCTGAACATTGACAATGAATATACCTTACCTTTGAAATCTAGAGGAAAAAACGCTATTTTTTAAAAGACTGAAGTCAATGGAAGGGAATATAAGTGACTCTTACCAGGTCCCAGTCCCCAGTGGCCCAATGACAACAGGGGTGGCTGTTGCAGGGCGCCGTGGGCGTGGGCCTTTCCGACCAGTCACAGAGACCTCCCGGACAAGTCACGGCTCTCTCCTGAACTCCGCCTCCACAGGACCTGGAACACTGAGGTAGGACAGGGACACATTTAGGTAAAAATCACCTGACGACATTTGCAGTGATCAGGGAAGACCTTCTTATTATCATTTTTGTGGTTACAGAGCTATTAAGAATACCAGTGTCTCTACTGGAATCTGCACCAGGTTCCTCATGATGACCACATAACAGTGATGAAACAAAAATTAAAGAGAGAAGGAAATTAATAAAAGGCATTCTGAGGATATGAAGAGGAGAAAAAGAAAATCAGAAGATGCCACATAGTTCAATGTAAAACAGTATGTCACACAGAAGGAATTCTGGTTAAAAACCTAAATGAGTGGTCATTCCAGAATGGACGTCATGCTATTTGCACTCCGGCTTCTAGCACAAGTATCTAGAAACCAAAATGTAAAATGTAGGTGTTTTCATTATGATTAGCTCCAACAGTCCAAACAGGGAGCACGCATTTGCAATAGAATTTTATTTCCTCTTAAAATGGGATTCAGTCTTCCTTTCCCACTACAAAATGCTTTAGAATTAAATTTGGCCATACTTGGAATAGGGGAATTGATGGGTTTGCCCCAGGGTCTGATCCACTGACTGTAATGCTCACAAAAATAAATTTGAGATGACAAGCTGGATTCCTAAAGGGATACAACTCTAAAACGTGTCAGGTTTTTGCTCACTAATATAATTTTATAAGATCTATTGTCTCATTTTCCTAAGGTTTCTAGAAGGAAATTACATTATCCACTAGGAATCTTTGAAACATAACATAATAAAATTTAAAAAATTAAAAAAAAAAAGAAAAGTACTTTGAAAAATCTTAATTATGGTATGGTAACAACAACAGCAACAACAAAATAATTATGGTTGGCAACATCTTGCTCATCACATCAGGCATGACATTGAGTGGTGGTGCCATAGAAAACAGGATAATTACATGCAATAAACGCTTTCTGCTCAATGAAAGAACTATTCTCTTGCTTTCACGATATTCCACCTTTGAGAATCAACATGGATCTTTTTGCCTATTTGTTGTTTTTAACCCTATATGAGGAGAGAAGGAGAGGGATTCTCCCATTTGAGATCATCATACCTACACATGTGCATATATTCAGGGCCACCTGACCACATAATGTCCAGGAAAGAAGGTGAAGAAAGTACAAACCAGCGGTTCTCCAAGTGTGGTCTCTGGACCAGCGACTTTAGCATCTTCTGGGTACTTGTTAGAAATGCAAAATTCAGGCCCCACCCCAGACCTCCAAATTGGACACTCTGGGGGTGGGATCCAGCCATTTGTGTTGACAAACCCTCCAGGTGATTCTGAAGTGTGCTAAAATTTGAGAAGCTCTCCTGTAGAGACATCCCCACAGCAGAAATGCTTCTTCCATGCCGGAAGGCTGGGCCGGCTGACAAAGCAAAGGGGCCCACAATATTCTCATGATGGTAGTCTCCTAGTATGTACAGACAAAGTAGCATCAGGAGTAGTCAGGGTAAAGCACCTAAGGGCTCCCAGACTCTCAAAAGCTCCAGAGAAATACTCAAAATGATTTTTGCATTTTCCATCTCCCTCAGAGGGTAGTCTTCCAACTGTGTGGTTTGCTCACACAGAGTAGACTTCAGAAAGGAGGGTGGTGGGAGCTCTTCAGGGAACAGCTCCTGGCTGGGGCTCCCAGAATACATCTTTTTCAGAGAGCAGATCTGATGGCTCATCTTTAAAAACCTGCAGTTGCATTTCTCTACCAGGCTCCTCTGCAGATCCCTGGATTCTGAAAGCTGTCACCAGGCTCATCATACATGGATGGCTTGGAGGCCTAGGTCCAGAGCATGGGAGTAGCAGGCACTTTATGTGCCCGAGAGCTGAGCAGGGAAGGAGGAGAAAGAAGGGACAGTGGTAGCTGCTGCCCCAGAAAGCCCCAGGTACTGGCCCAGAGCCTCAGGAATCAGCATGGTGCTTGACATGTAGACAGGAAGTGGCTTGTGGGCGGGGGGGGCAGTCTTCTGTAAGCTTTGACTCTAACTCTGTGTCCTACACTCGTGGTTCACCACCTTCCTTTCCAGAGCAGGTGGAGGGTTTGGTCCCCCCACCCCAACCCCCGCAAACAGTTACTGATTCACTCTTTCTCCTCAGTTCACTCTGTTCGATGCCTACTGGGCCAACTGCTATGGTAGAAAGAGCAAGGCGCTGGAGTCTGCCTTGTGCTGAAACTCCTGTTCCACCATTTATTTTCTAGTTGTGTGAATGCATGTAAATTTCTTAATCGCTGAGTCTCAATTTCTTCACCTATACAATGAAATTAATAACGCCTACTATTCGGGTTGTTGTGAGAATTAAACCAAGTGTCGTAGGCAAAATGCCTAGCCCACAGACACACTCAAAACATGCTGGGTTCCTTTTTTTCTCTTCTTTCTACCACACACGGATATGGTTGGGAGTAGTTTTTGGGAGCTGTTGACGTATTTGCCTACTGGCAAATGAGAAGAGCAGTCACTTTCCATTCATGTGCTGACATAGGGCAAAGACCTAGCAGAGCCTAGGCCCTCACAAAACAGAGGACAGACACACACAGGCACAAACACACTTCTTTGTATTTGTATAAACAGTGATCTGGGCATTGAACTGAGAGGTGGAACTCTAAAATACACTGCGTGTGGAAAGGAGCTGGCCATGCCCCCCAGCTCAACTAGGCAGAGGCCTAGCAGAGGGATGTGAGACTCCGCCCTCAATGACTCTCCTCAGAGTGGTCTGCACGCATTTCCCCAACATGGTCCCCAGTTCTGCCCAGTATATCCAGAGGGAGACTGGGTTGTGCTAAAACACTGAATTGTCACAGCTGAAACCACACAACATAGTCTTTAAGTTGACCTGTTCGGCCTCCTCCATAAAGTGCTGGGCCACTGAGTGGAGGCCAGTCATTGTCACAATGCACGTGTGGTCTCCCCTGACTTCCAGACTCGCGAGGTAACACAGAGATTCGCATTTGCCTGGGTCTGTGGATGATGTATCTGGAGGCCATACCTGGCTCCAGGGCTCCACGTGCCACTCCTCACAGGGCTCCATGTTGCAGCTCATGCTCAGCGGGGGACGAATGCCAGCCAGGAACTGGCAGTGAAACGGCCTCAGGTTGCGGTGGTCCCGGCTGTCCACACACTGAATCTCCCGGATCTGGAAGCCCCCGCTGCAGTTTCTGGAACACTGCATGCAGAGGGACACAAGAGGGGATACCTGAGTCCCTGGCATCAGGCTTTCATTCCCCTGAATTCCAGGGGGGTTTGCAGAGAGAACCATGGAGTTCCAGGCTTCCAGGCACAAAGCAGGGTGAAGTCTAGCTCAAGTGACCTGTTTCCCTCACAGGCCCTGGAGAGGGAGTCACTCAAGCAGCATCCAAAGATGGGGCCGCCCATGTCAGAAAACACAGGCGGGGAAGTCTAAGAACCGGGTGGCAAGTCCCGTTCTGTCACTCACTTGTCATGAGCTCTTGGGCAAGTCACAGAAACATTCTGAGCCTCAGGTGTCATAATTGTAAACTGGGATAGAACTGCCTCTCCCAGGGCTGTGGTGAAGATCGCAAACCCTGGGGTTGGGTGTCTGCAGGTGCAGGTCTGCCTCAGTGGGCAGCCAGTCCCTCTGGGGTGTAGTCATCCTGGGTGAACGAGGCTGCCCACAAGGGGACGTCTCTGCCAAGCCACACCCATCTCTCCCCCAGAATCCTGCTAAAAACCTGTTGGCTCCGTGACTCTGAAGGCAGGATGGGTTGCCCTTTGTCAAGTGAAGGGCCTATATGAGGGAAATAATTGGAATAACTGCTCAGCAGTTTGACTCACGGGAGTGAGCTGGTCCCTACCACCATCCTTCCTCCCAGAGCCGACATCCCCTGCCTTCATCACTGAGAGTTTGCTCAGCACAGGCTCATGGAAAGCCATTACAAGGCCCTCCTCACTGCCCCCTCCCACACGCTGACAGCATGCATAGCAGCCCCTGCATCCTGCTGGCCCATGTGACAAGGGACAGATTGATGCTCTAATGCTTCCAAAAACTGAATGTTTAGCTTCTTAGAAATAAATGACACTTGCCAAACGGCACCCCCCCCCCCCGCCCCACACACAAAACAAATAAAAAAACCTCACTTTCCTGGGCACCTGGGTGGCTCAGTCGGTTAAGTGTCTGCTTTCGGCTCAGGTCATGATCCCGGAGTCCTGGGATCGAGCCCCGCATCGGGCTCCCTGCTCGGCGGGGAGTCTGCTTCTCCCTTTCCCTCTACCCCTCCCCATCGCTCATGCTCTCTCTCTCAAATAAATAAATAATTTTTTTAAAAAACCTCACTATTCCGGCCATGTAGTAAGTACACAAAGTAAAAAGTAACTGTCAGTTTGAAATGAGCCACAGAACAAATGAGGAAACATGCTAATAATTTCCACACAAAGCAGCCATTTGTTTGACAAAACAGATTTCTGGGAAATAGCATGTGATAAAGCAACGGGGCTCTGTATTAGGACAAGGGAATTTTACAAGACGTAAGTATGAAATGAGATTTTATTTTCCTATTTTTCATTTGTTGCTGCAATGTTTCAAAATTCAATTTTCAAATTAGCATTCCCCTTTTGTTATTCACATTCAATGGGAAATGAACTTTATTAATATGCTGAAATAAATAATAAGGGAAGACACTCACTAAATCCATGACTTTTCCATTCCATTTTCAAAACAGCCTCTTGTTCAGTTAGCAAGAGAGAAGGGGCAGGATATTAAATCACTCCTAATGCTGTTCTGTTTGTATGCTGAATGCCAATTATTATATTCATTTTCTTACTGCCCTAGAGGACAGTCATTTGGATTCATGTTTTCCTAACCTGGAGCCTGTGGACCAGACTGAGGACAGAAGCCAGACTAGAACAAAAAGCCTGGCCAATGCCCTACTGTGACCAAAAGTGCTCATTTTCCAGTTACCACCTCAGCTCTGGTCTGCAGACCAGATCAAGTTAGAATGAAAAATACCCTTAGCTTATAGGGGCCACTGGAAGAGAAAATGAAATCACAATTCTCCCTTGTGTTGTTTACAAAGTCATCCTGGTACACGTTCCATGTTAGACTCACACAGGGTGTTCAGTTAAGAATAGTGAAATGCTCGAGCATAGCGTTGGGAGGTCGGTAGACTGCACTCAGGTGTGATCCTGACAGCAAGTGGTTACCTGACTGTGGGTTAACCACTGCTCGTCTCTCAGCCTCTGTTTCTCCATTGGTGTGGAAAGGTTAAACTAGATGATTAGACTATCCCAACATTCTGGAGTGGTATGAAGTATGGGATCGCTGCATTGTATTCTGTTCTGATTTCAGAATACTTTTCTTGCTTTCCAAGTTGAACCAAATACTAAATTGGGATATTAAAAAATTCTTTTCTGTTCCTTTCCTTATGCTGAACAGTTTCATAAGACTCTTAAGATTAAATATTTCATTCCAAAAATTCTAAGCTGAACAGCACCAAAATTCATCCTTCCATCTCTTCCCCCATGCCACCCCCACTTCCCTTCCAGTTCTTGGGCATTTCTATGTTCCAGACTCTATATTCCAATGTAACAGGAGAGGAGAGTTACATAAATGAGTAGAAGGAATAAAGATTACATCATACGTTGTTCATGATCTAATGAGGGCACAATGGAGGAGGTGGGCAATTTCACCTGAAGAGGTCAGGAAAGGTCTAAATGAAGGAGCCAAAGTTTGAGCTGAAGCATATAGGATAAGCAGATGCTCACTCAGCTGACAAACAGTGTGGGGGACATTCAAGATGGAGAGAAGGGCACATACAGAGGCACAATGCTATGAAACAAGACTTGCTTGGGAACAGCAAGCGGATCAGACTGCTAGGGCAAGGAGTGGGGGTGGACAGAGAGATGCGCAGGGGCCATCATGGAGAGCCCCAGGGTCTGGACATCAGTCCTCACTGGAGTGGTCTTGAGTTCATGCTTCCTGTGGTCCTAAATGCTTCTAATTCATTGTCATTCCTCTATTTTTTAGGGATCCCTTAATCTAAAACCTTCGGGGGTGTTATATGTCTGACGGTTCAGACTTACAACAAATTATACCAAGAATAAAATAAATGCTGTGATTTTTAGTCTATAATGACCTTCCTGCTACTCAGTGTTTGCTTTCTGGGGACAGAGGCTCCCTTATAACATGCAATTCTATGTTTTGACATCTGCACATTGGACTTTAATATATGTTCCTGGGAACATGTTATATATCAAAGTTGGGGATGGTCTGTATTTAGCAAGAAAGGGGCTCTTTCCCTATAAGTTCATTTCTAAAAATTCAGATCCAAAAAAATGTAGCAATGCCCCTGACCATCTATAAAATCTAATAAACACAAAGACAAGAAGGAGAATAAGACAGAAAGACTAGCAATATATACAAATATATTAGCAAATATTTGAAACCCAAGACCATAAGGAAAGACTGCCACTTTCTCTCACTTTCCAGCAAAAGTCAATGACTGCTGAAATAAAGGTGCAACACGGCCTAGGAGGGAAGACAGAACATGCCAAGAAAAAAATGTAAAAATGTTTCTGATTCATTTCAGAAACAGTCAAGATCTGTTAAGACTTAACTATGAAAAGGGAAGTGCTCGTTCTCAGAAAGCAAATAAAGGGGCTATCAAATCACCAGTTGACAAAACTTCAGAAGGTGCAGGGATCAAGATGTTCCACCAGGCGGTGAGTGGAGCTGTGGGAGATGCATCGTTTTGGTGTCAAACCCAATGGAAGGCTTTTCAAACCCATTTTGTCACTTCCTGAATTTCCTGCATGACGACACTCCCTCTTTTTTCCTCATACAAATTTTAATGCTCTGAAATTGGTGTGTGTCTTACAACTGATGTACATATTTATTGTATAATGTTCTCTTTCTTCCTGAAAAGCTGTCATTAAATGGATGACGTGTCCCCCTGTTGATGGTTTCTTAAAACCGGGAGCGTTTGGTAACAGCTGTGTGATCGAGCATTCGTGATTTAAACACCCCGAGCTTTCATTTCCTCAGTGGGAATTATAAAGAAGGTCCTAAGCTGGATGAAAACAGAACTGATGATCTAAAGCTCTTGTGTAATGCTAGGCACGTGATAGTATTGGCGAGTGCCAGGGCCCAAGGTAGGTCAAGTCCTCCAAAGTTCCTGGACACTTTGAGCACCTTGTCTGCTTAATACTGGGGAGTAGACACCTGCTCCAGCCAGTCCTGTTGACAGAACTTTCTCCAAGTTCACCTGTCTACAGGCTTTCTGCCCTGAGTCCAGGAAGCCAGAGGTTAGTAAACACCCAAGAGCCAGTCCTGACTTTTATCTGGAGCTCAAAGTTTGCCCAGGATTTCTTCTGAACGGTCTTTTACCATTTACAAAGCTGTTTCACTAACATTCTCTTTTCTGATCCTTATAACAATTCTATGAGGTAATTGGAGGCAATATCATCCACTTTACTTCTCAGAGGTGAGAGAAACACAGTTTCTAAGATGAATGCACCAGTGTCATATGCTGGTCATGACATAGCAGGGCTGCCAACCCACATGTGTCCCATCCACCGCCCAGCACCACTTTTAGGATTCAGTTCTGCAGAACCGTCTTCCCAAGCATGCCTCTGGGACAAACCCGAGGACTACAACCTTAACTTTGCTTCAGACAGACTGATGCGTGAAGGGGAAGCAAGCCATCCTGAAAGACTGCTTCTAGACACGGTAAAGGCAGGGGGCTGAACGTAGAGTCCTATTCTACTCTCACACACAGGGGAACGTGTCCACAGCAGCTGTATCAGGCTTCATCAGGGAGCCCCACGGTGCTGGAGACAGAAGCCAGTAAAACAAGCACAACTCAGTCAGCCATCACAAAGCGAGAGGACTGCTGGCGAGTGACCCAGAGGCCTCAGGACTGCTACCTGTAGGCTTGGGGCCGGCTGAGGCAGACCCGCAGTCCTATGAAGATTAAGGTGTCTGTGGATGGGGGGCGGAGACTGGGGGGATCATGCAGAAGATTCAAGGTAAAATTAGAATTCTTCGCTCTGAGAAAGTATCTGTGAAAGGGCAAACCATCAACATGGCAGAATCTAAACCCTCTGGGCATTTAAAGACATTAAAAGGGCCTATGCTCCGACTCTAGGTTTTGCAGGTTTGCCTCTGAGCGTGTTTCGAAGTCCTAATAGAACAGTGAAATGAAGAAGGCCCTCAAATCTTTCCTGGTGCATGATTTGGACTTCAGACATCTGTATGAACTGGTTAATAATGCGGTAGTTAAAAAGGAATTATACTTACTCATCAAAATTTAAGATAAAATCTAAATTAACATGCCTGGGAAAAATGGAAGTCAGGTGTGTAAGACCCATAATAATAGAAACACAGAAGTTAGGGCAATTGACGATCAGTGGTTAAGCCACATCTTTGACAAGCTTTATCTAGTATCCCGAGAGAAGAGACATTTTCTTGAGTGAGAGGAATGGAGTAACTTGGGAGGATCCGATCCTGGATGTGGTGGTTATCTCATTCTGGCAGGCCTGGTGATATAGGAGAGCTCCCACGAAACCACCAGAACCAGACGTACTGCAGGGGGGCATACATAGCCCCGCAGCCTCCCTCTCCCCACCCCCCACCCCCACTCCCCCGCCATGAGAGAGGACACCCAGAGACAGACGGGCCGGCCGAGCAGGGCTTTCCTCAGGAGGTCTGACCCCAGAGAACTGCTTCTGGATCTCTCATGCAGGGTTTTTCACAGGCTAGAATTCCTGGTACTTTTCATGGGAGTGTCTTTTCAAAAGTGTGAATGATTTCGCACATCTGTCCTTTCTTCGAGCTAGACAATTTCCAAGGAAAGGACTATTCGCAATGATAACAAGGCGGGCCTTTAGGACTGCTCAATGTTTGGCCAGGTAAGGATATAAAATGTCTCTTGAGATTTTTCTGGATATGGAAGAGAATTTGTAGCAAAGCATTTAGTCCTTGCTGGATCCTGAGTTTGTAAGAAGTTGGAAGAAAAAGAAAGAACTAGCACTCGTTCTTGGAAGAAAAATAGTATGAAAGCAGAAGAAAGGGAGGGTGGCGGGTATCAAAGGGATGTGTGGTAATCTTTCAGGGAGTAACCCTACTGTCCCTCTCTTCCCCAGAATTGGAGCCTTACTTTGGGAGAAGGGGCCTAACGCAGATAAATAATGTTGCACGCTCCAGGCTTCCAGATAAGTCTGCCAGAACCAGAGACGTCCAGTGAGACATCTGGTGGTCCTGCTTGTCTGGGAGCAGGAGCTCGATACTGGATGATGGAGCTAACATCTACAAGGCTCACCAGCCTCTCCAAACTTCTGGGTAGCTCTTTCTTCTCCCTTCTGTGTCTCAGCTGTCAAGAGAAACTGGCAGACAGAAGGCGCATGCGTTGCTCTCACCTCTGCACCTCCTCCTGCCCATCAGCTGTCAGCCCCACCACTGACGGGTGTCCTATCCCCCAGCGGCTGGCTCAGCCCCAGGCCAGCTTGGGCCTGGTTAGTGCCCCAAAGCACCAAGGCTAACTAATCCCGGAACCTGATATAGTCTTTCACAAGGGACCCTACAGACAGCACAGCAAGATGAGTAACCACAGCCAGATTAGCAGAGAGGGTATAACCACACTTCAAAAAGATCAGTATGGGAAATACACGTTGAAAGACCAATTTTTTTTCTGTCTCCGCTTTCTTTTCATTTGGGGTCTGAGGATGAAAAAGTACGTTTCCTTCGTGAGCAGCTGCTGAGTCATGACTCAATGATACCTGTGAGGATGTCTGGTTTAGAATTTAGAATTTAGAATGCGACATTTAAGTAATTTAGAAACAATGTGGCATGCTGGACCAGCAATCCGATACACGAATTTAACGTTTTGTTCCAGTTTATCTGGGAAGGGGAAAGGCCAGCAGGTAAAAACATGTGGGTTAATAACAGCCCTGTATGTGTTCTAAGGCTGCTGGATAAGTTCGAGCGGGCCTATGGTGATGCCCAGGACTGACTCCTCCAGGTGGTATCAGAGGGAAGGGCAGGAGGGAGGCAGCAAGGGAGGAAGGGAGGAGACACGCCTCCTTCCACAAGCGCGTGGCAAGGCTGTCCCCCCAGAACCCACGGAGCCCGGTCACTTACCTTGCTCCACACCCCTACTCTCCAGCTGGTACAAGGACGGAGGTGGCACCTCTTAGCGGGGTCGGGCTTCTGGACGGTGGCACAGTCAGAATCCGTCCCGGTGCTACAGTCCACGCTTCGCCAGTAGGCCCCCAGCCCACAGCTGGTGGAGCACTGTGGCGGGGAGGGGGACAGAGAGGACAGAGGCTGAGGGCCGCCTTCTCAGACATCCCCCGCCACAGCCTGCAGTCAGGCGTTCTCACTCTTGGACGCTCACCTAATCGCCCGCAGAGCCTTTCACAGAAATACCAGCGCCAGGGTCCCGCCCCAGACAAATGAATCCGAATTTCCCTGGGTAGGGCCTGGGCTTCAGTGTAAAAAGAAATGCCCTGGGGGGAGGGGTGCCTGGGTGGCTCATTTGGTTAAGCGGCTGCCTTCGGCTCAGGTCATGATCCCAGGGTCCTGGGATCGAGTCCCGTGTCCGGCTCCCTGCTCGGCGGGGAGCCTGCTTCTCCCTCTGCCTCTGCTCCCCCTGCTTATGCTCTCTCTCTCTGTCAGATGAATAAATAAAATCTTAAAAAGAAAAAAAAAGAAATGCCCCAGGTGATTCTAATAAACAGCCTGCGATGAGAATCTCTGATCAGTGCATGAGAAGAAAAGCAAGGGGAAATCTGCTTCTCTTTAAAAATCATCCTGGCCGGAATGTCTGGGGGCTGCAGACCGAATGCCCACTGCACTTCTTATCAGTGCTGTCAGTCAGTGCACAGGGGGTGTCAGATCCACGCATCTGCCTGTTAGAACACCGCAATGACCTTATGTCACTTCCTCCTCTCCACGACAAACCCGTGGGTAGACCAGGATTGTCACAGTGCAGAATAAACCCTATGAGGCTCGGAGAACTGGCTTGACCAAGGAGTAAGCCCGGGGCTCTCTGCCTCCAAAACGCCATATGCTATCTGTTAGAGCAGTTCCTCTCGAACTTCAGCCTCCATAGGCGTCACCTGGGCACCTTGCTAAATGCAGGGGCTGAGTCAGCAGGTCTGGGATGGAGTTGCAGATTCTGCATCTCTAACCAGCTCCCAGGTGCAGCCTACAGCCGACCCTCCAACGGATGCATGGCAAGTGAAGCTGAGATCTGCTGAGCTCAGCCCCACTCAGCAGAACCTCCCAGATGATCCATAGACTCATGAACAAAACTCTGAGGTTTTGTGGTGGTTTGTCATCTAGCATTATTGTAGCAATAGGCAACGGATACAACCACATAACAGGTATCTTTCCTACATTTTCTCTAGCCTTCTGAGACTTGGGGTACAATTAAAATTCTGCAGTTAGCTAATGGTGTGATCTTCTTAACTCCCTAGCCTATAAAACTGGTGGTAACATTAGGACCACAGAGATTTATGCACATGGTCAGGACTCTACAAATGTTACCTATTAAACACAACACAGCTGCGAGGTCAACATTGTGAGTCCCACTTTCCGGGTATCTGGGGCCCAGAGACAGAAGCCACGTTCAAGGCCACATTGTGTCTGTTGTTAATTTCATATTATGACAGAGAGAAAAATATATTTGCCCAAACCCAGGAAAGGACCTAGTGAGATGGAATTCCCAGGCTAGTGATAACCTGGTAAATCTCAAGTGGTGTCTAGGACTCTTTGTACCATATTTGTGTAGCAAATAAATGCATGTTGTCTCTGGGGCTCTGACTTTAGTCCTGCCAGATTCAGATCCCGTGAGCAGACATTTAATTCCTTTTGACAGTTTTTACGGAGGCAGCCAACAACAGCGCGAAGGGAAAGCTGACAGAGGGAAAAGCACGGAACACAGTAAAAGTGAGATGGGGTTCCATCAACTGTCACTTGTATTAGTTTCAAACTGGGAGTGAGGGATGAGACAAGAAAGGGGGACCCTGAGGAGGCGGAAGGACTTCACTTTTTCCTGGAAACCTTCATCCTTGTTAGGTTTGCTAGTGGCCCTGTGGCCACCGATGTACCAGGTCAAGGAGCAGGTTTCGGGATGTTCAGAACCGGAACTAACAAGGAGGGCTGCGTCGGACTCACGTGAGAACTGCCGTGAATGGCTCCAGAAAATCGTTCTGTCAGTTCACACAACTGCACAGATGACATGTAACGACCAGCCCTGGGGATCTGACCGGGTGACGGGGCAATTCAGTGAGCCATGATTTTCTGACCACGTAAGAGCCACACCATGCACACTGCATAGCGCCTAGGTTTTCTGCTTGTAAACAGATACCAGAGCAAACACTTACTGGGTGCTTCCTATGTGCCCCATACTCCCCCGAGTACCTTACACATAGTTACTCCTTTTACCCCCTACCGATCCTTGAGTCGGGCATTGTCACTGTCCTCGTTACACAGATGAGGAACCTGGGCATGTGAGGACACAGTGAGTGGCCGAGCAGGATTCCAGCCCAGAAAGTCGGGTTTCAAGCTTTAGTGTCTTTTTATGGTGTTCACTTAGTCTTTATATCCATTCTTTAATTTTTGAAGTCACAATCTGAGGAACGTGTTGTGTACAACGGGGAGCCTGAGCAGCCCTTCCACACAGGACAGAAAGTGGGGGGACATGGTGAGAGCGATTTCGGATCAAATGATAAGGAGCTTTAGAAATGACTTCCAATCTTAGGGGTCAGGAGAGGCTTTCTGGAAAAAGCAGCTCAAAGTTTGGTCCTGAAGACCAGGGCAGGATTCACAAGGGCAGAGGAGGAGGAGAAGGCACTTCAAGGCAGAGGGAACAATGTAAACAGACGGAGTGGGGCAGGAGGCTTAGGGGAAACCGAGCAGTTTCGATCTGCTGAATCTAAAGATGGTGAGGCAGAGGGGAGGCAAGTAAAGCTGTTGGACTGTCCGAGTCGGTTTATCTGAATAATGGAAAGATTTGTGAGCAGGAGTTTGGAATGATTAGCGAATTTTTTCCAAAGACTAACTTGGCAATCTTAGGTCTCTTGTGATGACGTGTGGAAAGCGCTGCCGAGGGGAGAGGCTGGAGGTGATCAGACCAGCAAGGAGCCGAGAGCAGTAACTGAGGCTCCTTTCTTGACTATTGGGTCACTGCTGGCATTGGACCGGACAATTCTTCCTTATAAGAGACCGCCCTGAATGTCGCAGGGATTTATAATCTTCGGCTCTCAGATATTCAGTGTGGGTAGCGGCCCCCTCCCCCATCACCGGAACAAACAAAAGCATCCCACTCTTCTCCACGTGCCTCCCGCCATTAGACTGGAAACCACTGGCCCCAAATGAACAGGAAATAAAGAGGAGATGACAGAGATGACGAGGTGACACTGACTTGAAAACCTGTCCGGGTTTTTATAGGGGGCTTGGGGAAGACTGATATCAATGGGGTGACTGAGAGGCCATCCTAAAGAAACAGCTTCAGAAATGGACAGAATAAAAAAGTCACAGGACAGTGGGAAAACCAAAGTTTTCATTCTGAGTCCTGATCCTCTCTGACAATTCTGTGTATTAAAGATTTTGTCTCAAAAGATGTATAAAGGGGGCAGGCAACCCAACCCTATCACAAAGGGAATTTCTGCCAAATGTTGAACTCTGTTCTCATAATATCCTTCGCAGCTCTGAAAAACTGCAATGTGGACCAAGTCCCTTTTTCTAGTCAAACTACCTGGAATTAACAGCTCTCAGTGGCTTCACCATGGTTGTCAAATTTTTGGTGAGCTATGATGTATTCTGTAAGACAGTTTATTTCTGTCAAAGACAAATGATGACATTTGCAATAAGTCAAGGGTAGCTTGATTTACTATAATCAAAATATATCAATTGACTTCTGGCCTCTATGATCATCTGAGCAAATATATACTTTTATTTTGGTTTAATTTACAGGTACACCACACTTTACTCAGAGATAATGTATTTTTTACAAATGGAATAGAGTGGAGTTAGAAGGTTCATCATCCAACTGACAATTGTGTCTTTAGACAAGTCACTTGACTGCCACAAATTTTATTTTCTCTATCTGCAAATTGGCATAAATGAGACCTTACCTGCTCCTCAGGATTGTCAAAAGGAGAAAACAAGAACTAGATATGAAAGTGGTTTGGAAATTAACATGCTTTATAAATTAAATGTACTGTAGTTATATTAGCTGCAAATACTTCATTTCTCTTTGGCCAGGGAGAGAAGTCATGTATCGTCACAAAAATGCTGACTAATTTGAACATGTGATTATTTTGCCACAAAGTCCTCTTTTGAGTTGTCAAATTATTTTAACAAGTTCACAGACCGTGCATTCAAAATTCAAACGGATGAAAATGATTTTGATGCTTCAGAGGGCATTAATTAGTTCCAGAAATGGAAAAACAAGTATTTAGCCAAATTTCTGAAGCTTGAAAAAAGGGGCCAACATTCTGTCGTCATATTTATTCTCTTCTTCTTCCATATTCTAATTCTTTTAATGAGCCAAAATGATTTTTTTCATGCAAGTACTCAAACAGACCAACAAGAAAAGAAAACCATTGATAACACTGAGTTAGAGAATGCATTTAAGGAACTTTATCTTCAATTCCCACTCCAATTAGGATTACCTGACAGATCTCGAGTCCCAACATCAGCTTTGCGAGTGACATGCTACCTCAGGCCCTTCCAGCCGCTCCTCAGCGGTTCGAAGCTGGGGGCGTGTTGTGGGTGGTCTACACCAGCGCCACCACTCCACAGGTAAGAAGCGGCTTCTGAAACATGGACTGAGTTCTCCGCTCTCTCACAGCTGGCTTGCCCAGCCCTCCTGACTTAGTTCAGAGTTCTTTTCACTTTATCGCACCATATTTGTCCTCCCTCCCCGGAGATTTTTATTTTTCCCTCTCTCCTTTTTGGAGTTAGGGAGGAGAGGAGGGAGGTGAGGGCACGGACCTGACTGCTTCACGTTTCTTCTACATCGGGCTAGATCTTATACAAGCCCATTTTGAAATGTGCACAAGAATGCAAGAGCCCTAGCTATTTCCCTACAGAGTCGGGCATGGGGTGAGAAATGGGGCTCCTACCTCACTCCAGTTTCCAACAATCCAGTATGCGGAGCCGCCGCCTGTTGAGAGCTCCTTGTAATCCGAAGCATTGAGCAAAAACCCCTCAGCGATCAGACTTGTTTCATCTTCCTCGGTCAGGACCAGTCCAGAACCCTGCGTTAGATTGGCATTGCTTGGAAGTTCTGGAGGGTTATGGCGGACCGCGTGTTCTGTCGGTGCTGGCCGGCGGTCTCCTCCCAGAGGGAATGGAGTGTTCGCTGGCTTTTCAGTGGCCATCCCCTCAGCGCCAGGCGCACCATTTTTGAGAGTAGCAGGACTTGGGCTGGGCAGCAGACCTTCCATCGCTGTGCTGAAGGGTGCCCAGAGATAAGGTGTTGGTGGAGGCCCAAAGGGCATTTCCGTACTTCTCACCACGGAAGCATCATTTCCGGCTACTCTGATTTTAGTCCATGTTACGGACTTGTTTTCATTTTTGTTCTCAGACTGTTCGCTGTCTTCCCCTGAGCCACTATGAATCTCTATCCCTGGCTCTTTGGTCAAGGTATCGTAAAATGGAGTCACCTGCCACGTCACAGGCTTGCCGGAAGACGGCAAATCAGCACCAGTCACTGTCGTGGTGAAAAGGTCTCCCTGTGAGGTAGGAGCAGTGTCTGAATTGGGAACATTCTCTTCATTTGGCTGGGTACTCAAAGCCCAGGAAGTGAGGATGGGCTGGGAAGTACTTCCGGTGGAAAGGACATAATTGGAGCCCGGTTCAGTTTGGCGTGAACTGTTCTGACACCGTTTGGCATCCAGGTCTCCTTGTGCGGGGGCCGTGGTAGGACCGGGGCTGCTGACGGCCCGAGCGCTTGTGCTCACAGGCCCGGGCACCGTGGGTGTGCTCAGCGTTCTGGGACTGAATGGAGTTGGAAGGATGGGCTTCAGGGGGTCCGGCTCAGATGTTGGGAGCTTTTTCCCACTGGGAATCATGCCTTTGTGGGGTTTCAGAACCCTTCGGACAGAAGGGCATTGCTGGAGGCCACAAAGAGCTCGGCTGTTGGGTTTCCTTGTCGCATCGCAAGGTTCGTCATGGTTCTTGGCACACATGACGCTGCGGATCCGCACCCCACCGCCGCAGGAAACAGAACACTGGAAAAGAGAGACAGCTGTTAGATTCATGGGAAAGGTGCACTGGTTCTCTCATGCTCAGGTTTACAACAGGCGAGAACTGGCCCGATGGAAACGGAGCTGGGCAGCCGAACTTGTTTTCTTCCATCTTTGTATCTGGTTTCTGAGCTCCTTTAGTTCTCCAAGGAAATAGGTATCTGCTGGAGACCAGAGGGGGTTCAGGACCAACCATTTACTCTTCGCAAACTGAATATATAAGCCACGACATAGTAAAACTGAAGTGTCCCTGGGCTCTGAACACAGGACAGAAAATTCACAGAAAGTGCAATGATGTATACGAGTTACCTACTCTTTTTAAGAGATGGTAAGATTATCTTTCCTAGGGTTGTGATGCTGTTAAATTAACACAAACTGTTTATATATTTTCCGGAGTCTTTGGTTATAACAAACCTTCCCTTTATATTTAGAAAACACCCAATGTAACTGACAGAGTCTCACCCAGGCACACCGGCTCCATGTCCACTTGCCTATGTCAGGTGGAATCAGATTAAAAGCTAGACAACCATCATACTCACACCCGTACACAGGTCCAGGACCTATTCTGAAATTGAAAGGTGGGTAATTAATCGAAGTAGAGAGATACCCTTTCCAAAAAGTGAGTCCCGTAGCATGGTGCCAATATGAGGGGCCATGGCTGGTACCACCCCCCGCCATGTTCCCTCCTCATTCTGTAGGGTATGCCAAGCACAGGCAGCTAGAGCACTTTTGGAAGAATCCTAACAGGATAGTCTTTCCTCAGGATTCATGGTAAAGAATCATTATTTCCTCAGTCTCAGCAGCTGCAAACTACATCTACGTGCTACATCACACGAAATTTCTAGATGTTTTGAAAAAATCTATACTTTTACCAGACAGCTCTATGTGCCTTTCCTTTCCAATTTTAAGTCAGCCACCAAATGTACTGCACTTGAATATGAACCTCTGGGGGTCTTCATGGGCTGTTTCACATTTGTCTGGCTTATATTCCTGACCTCAAAGCAGGTTTCTTGAGGATGGGGATTGCATAATGCTTGGCGGATTTCCAGGGGCTCACAGCCACAATTCTGTGATATGACGATGGCCCTGTGAGATTTATAAGGCAGGAATTAGGATTCTGCCTTCCATGGGAGAGGAGGCTGAGACTCAGGGACTTGCTTGAAAGGCTGCAAGTCGGTGGCAGAGTAAAATCAGATTGATTTCACAGCCTCCATGAAATCTAGTGCAACACACTGACTGGTAACCATCCACTGATTTCCGCTCTTGACCACAAACTCTCAATTTCCGAAAAGCTACCCAAAGGCAGGAACTAGTTCTTATTCATAACTGAATTCTAGGATAGTTCTTGGGACACAGCGATCACCTGATACATATTTATTAAGTGACTATTTTACCTGGAAAAAAAGAACAGGAATGGGAAAATTCTGTGGGCTTATGCATTTTTTAGCTTAAGTTTCTTGCCTTCTCGAGTCCTATTTTTAATTTCCTCGGTGTAGGAAAATAATATGGATGTATAAAACTCCCCCTTTATTTTGTTCCAGTCAAGCATCATTTCTCCCTGATGTCCGCGAGCTCTGGGAAAGCAGATCCTTTGAAAAGCAGGAGAAGCTTGTCAGCACAGGAGACCGTGCAGCTGAGAGCGCACTCAGCTGCGGAACTGGGGTCACCTCACTTTGGAACCTGGCAAGGGCAGCCCGGAGCCTGTTACTTTCCTGGTTTACTACAGTATTTCTGCCTTCTTCTGTGCGAAGGTGCCTTAAAGCACTGTCCGCTTCGTCTTCCTCACTGGCTCTCCACTTGTTACATTCTAATCCAAACCCCTTGAGTTTTCAAATCTCCACTTTGGAAAAAAGATCCATTCAATCAAACACCCTTCACGTAGGTCCGAACTTATTTCTGCGCTGCTTGCCTCAGGCAGGCTGGGTTTCGAGAGCTGGCCCTTGAAAGAGGCCCCGGCTGACGCCAATGGTCCTCAAGTGGCAGGTGCACCTCCCTTTGGGTTTTTTCTTTCCAAGAAATGTCAGAGTAGACAGCTACATGGCAGGAAGCTCTCTGATTTTTCTTTTCTTTCTCTTCATTCCTTTGTTTGTTTGTTTCGACTTGAAATGCTTATCATGTCCACAGGGAAGCCCAGAGACACACACCTGTCTGTGGGAAGCTACGAGGTGAGCAGCTGCCTGGGTGAAGTACTTGTAGGCACATATCTAGAAGATACTGTGGATATCCACCCATCCCACTGGTTTGTTGCCAGATTTTTTAAGATTTAGATTTCCTAAGGTTAACAGATGGATACATATATATATTTTTTAGAGTTTATAAATTACACGTATTAAATAACCTTATTTACCACTGTGTGAATTTGCTCAACCTAAAAGAATAAAACAGGAGTAAATAAAAGCTATTTAACGGGTTGCTTAGTGAAAATACATTAGATTTTGAGCTTTTAAAACTGAAGATTACTCTAGAACAGAGATTCCAAAGTGGCAGCCTCAGGACTACATTTGACCCAAAACATTAATTCTTTGGCCTGCCCAATCTTTTTTGTCTCTTTCTCTTTTTTTAAAAAACGGTGGCAAGGAGAGGTGGAGGGGGAAGGAGAGAGAGAGAATCTCAAGCAGGCTCCACGCCCAGCACAGAGCCGGCCACGGGACTCGACCTCACGACCCTGAGATCATGACCTGAGCCCAAATCAGGAGTTGGATGCGTAACGGACTGAGCCACCAGGCGCCCCTGGCTTGCTCAGTCTTAAAACAAACAAGCAAACAGATGAAATACAAACACTGAATTAGTAGCCAACACTTAAAGCAGATTTCATATTAAAATTCCTTATTTTTAGCTTCTCTCAAAAAAGCAGAGGATCTGCAATTACTGGCGCCATTCTCAAATGGCACCTCACAACTTCCTTCACGGAGCCCGGGGTCTGGGAGCGGTTCTTATGTTCTCCAGCACACCTACCTTTCATCCCCACCTGCTTCCCTCACCCACAGACCCGGAAGCTTCCAAGTAGCCCAAGGATGCCATTCTTCAGCCCCGGGGCGTATCGTGCCCAGCGGGACAGTGTTAACGATCTACCAAGTCTGTACGGGGCCTACAAACGAAGTTGCCTTTTCTCGTAGCCACGCTGGAACAGGCAGCACTGGTTTGTCCTCAGCCCCATGCTCCTTCCGATACATCTTCCACCTGCGATTATCTCCTTAGGAGCTGTCAAGCCCTTCAGATGAGATAAACGCAGGGCACAATGCTGCACTCAGAACTCATCCTGATGGGTAGTTTCGGAACTCTCAAAGCCAGCATCTGCTATGATGACTTCGTGCCCTGACCTCATAATTTCGAACTCTGTACCAGGCCAGCAGCTCGTCAGTCTGCTCCTGTCCTCCCGGGGAGTCATCTTGCTCTCACTTGTCATTCCTCCAAGATGAAGGCCTGTGGGAGCCGCTGAGAAAGAGGGTTGCTTCTAAATGAGTCAAGCCACCCACCTCAGGTGCACTGTGGGAGAGGGGAGCTCACAAAGGGCTCAGAGCTGCAGTGCTGAGAGTTTTTTCAAAAACACAGTCGGGGCTCGTCACAGAGTTACAGCTAAAGGGCCGAGGAGAGAAATAGCTAGTGCTTTGCCATAAAAACATTTATTGTGTAGTCTCGGGAATTTATAAATGAATGATTGGATCTAATGCTAAAACCAGCTTTGAAAGTAAGCTGAAAAACTTAGGTAGCTCTTATGGGTTGAACTGTGTCCCCCCACAAAAAGATATACTGGAGTCTTAACCCCTGCCCACCCCCTCCCCCTAGACCTCAGAATGGAGACTTATTTGGACATGGCGCCTTTACAGAGGTAATCAAGTTAAAATGAGGTCCCCAGGTGGGTCTTAATCCAATATGACCACTGTCCTTATAAAAAGGGGAATTCAGATACAGAGACACACACATAGGGACAATGCCACTGAAGATCAAAGCGGAGATCAGGGTGTTGACAACTACAAGCCAAGGAAGTCAAAGGCCACCAGAAGCTGGAAGGCATGGAACAGACTGTCCCTCACAGCCTCGAGAAGGAACCAACTCTGCCAACACCTTGATCTTGGACTTCTGGCCTCCAGAGCTGTGAGACGATACATTTCTGTTGTTTAAACCACCCCGTTTGCGGTTCTCTGTCATGGCAGCCCTAGCAAACTAATATAGTACCCTAGATAATTTAAAAAGTATATCAGACAGGATGAAGAGAATCAACATGGCCCCCAACTGGTTTTCTGTGAGTGCTTGTGTCAAACGAGGATGCCTGTATGTGTTCTCCAGGAAACTGGGCAAAGCACAGGCTGCTGACATCCGAGGGGCACTGACATGCTGGTGCACACAGACATCCCCTGCCACAGGACGAGGTGGTCCAGCCCCACAGAAGTGCCTTGGACCTCAACTCAGACTGGGGAGTACCACAGGTAAGCGACTCAGAAGTGTCTCCTCGCCCTCCTGCTCCGGCCTCCTTCGGTCTGCAGGCATTTCTGTGAGGCTTCACACAAGAGCTCCCTTTGCTTCTCGTTTAGCCACAGACACGCTGCTGGTGTTCGCTGTGGGCGATTCCGTCTGAGGAGGCAGGAGAGATTGTTTGCGAACATCAGCATCTAGTTTCTCTGGTCACTCGGATGCTCCAACACCCATGTGAACCGCTTTGCACTTGACAGAGTCTCAGTAAGTTGGTTAATTGTTTTGTTCATTTGTCTGTGTGCTTTCATCAGGCACACAAAGGGCTCGGGGGCCGCCCCACGCCCCGTCAAGTATGTTAAAAAAACATCTCTAGTCTCAAGGGAAATATCATAATTTTTTTTTTTCTCTAAAAACCATCTGAAAGGCTTTTTCTTCTTTTGCTTTAGAAGTATTTGGAGGGGGGGGAGCAACTTATTTAAGAGGGCTCTGATTTCTCAGCAATCGTTAGGCTTAGTCTGGAATTCCAGCAAAGTGACAAAAGCTGATCTCTAAATTGTTTCCAAACATAATATGATTTTTTATGAATACTACGGGCTGTCAGATTGTTGTATTTTGTAGATGTGTGAGATGCATATGGCAGAGTGTTCCCAGTAAAACTCTGCATTCAAATCCTGGCTCCACTGCTTAAAGGACGAGTCTCTAAACATCTCTATGCCTCAGTTTCTTCACCTGTAAAATGAGGCTAATAAGGCTGTAAGGAGGTATTGTGTTAATACCTATAAAAGTGTTTAATAGTAATACCAGTAAGTATCCAGTGGGTACCTGCCATTAATATGTAATTCAATACTGATTTATGATTTTGCTGTGTCCTTTGTTTTTATGGAAACCATCCATTAGCTTTTTCGTTAGGACTCAAACATTTCTGTAGACCCTTGACCCAACCCTCATGCTTACAGTGCTCCATGCAGAAAATGGCCCTGACCTTGGGGCGAGGGTCTAGATGAAAATGCAGAGGGGCACAGATCAATTCTGTCAGGGCATCTGGGTGCCACCAACTGGACAAGGCTTACAAAATCAGGGTAGCATAGAAGATAGACACTGGCCTTCTTGCTTGAGAATGAAGTTACCATTTAGCAAACACTATTTGTGGACACTGCTCAAAGGGCTTTGGTGGATTATCTTCAAGCCTCACATTAACCCTGTCTTTATAAATGAGAAAAGGCTGGTGGGGGCGGCGGGGGGGGGGGGCGCGGGGCGGTTAACACTAGCTCAAGGCCACACAATTAGGGATTGTCAGAGCTAGAAAACGTAGGAAAATTACTCTCCCACTAAATCTATTAGTGTCTAACTGCCAGGAGTAAGAGGGGAATTCATGAACATCAACCTCATGGAGTTATCTTAAACGTTAAATGAAACGAACCCTACAGTGTGAAAAGCACTCAACAAATGATAGATGATGTTATTCCCATCTACTTACTCTGCTAGGAAATGACTGTATCTACAGCTTACTATGTCCCAGGCACTGTTCTAGTAAGAAGTTTGGAACTATTAACTCATTTCATCCTCATAGCGTCTCTTGGGTCTAAGTACTGCTGTTATTCCTGCTTCATGGATGGAGAAAACAAGCCACAGAAAACTAAAAGGAATCACAAAGAGATTAAAGTCACACATCTAATAAGTGGCAGAGCCAGGATTCGAACCCAGGGACCCATACTCCTGAGACCGTGCATGTCCTTCACCACTAGACAAGGCATGTCACTGAAGCGGTATACCTAATAAAAATGGGGGCCACAGAAACTCTGATACTGTGTTTACAACAAATCCAGTCCTCCTTCTTTACCCTTCACATCCAGAAAGTAGATTGGGTGAAAACAGAGCAAGATTCTTGGTGAAATCTGAGATTGGGGGTAGGAGTCAGTGTTCAGGGCATGAGCTTAGAGAGGGAGGGCCTGGTCAGATGGGCAGAAAGGGCCCCCCAGCTCTCGCTAGGTCCTCCTTCAGACCCCTGCTGGGTCAGGGATGAAGGTGCCAGCCTGGCACAACTGAGCCCACCCTTCTCTCGTTGCTTGGGTTGGCAGAGGTGTCTTGGCAGGGAAGGGAAGTCAGCCCAGAGAGGATGACTCAGCAGGAGCCTCATAGTTCTTGGATCTTTTGGCCTAGTTACCTCCTAGCTTCCGACATCCAGGGTGACCCAGACAGCCCAGTACAGACCAAATCCTGAGGTATCTCTGGAGCACTATACCCTGCGTCAATTAATGCCAATCTCAAGACAAGATCCAGACCATAAATACTATGATAGCAAGAATACAGCACTGCATCATCTCTCTTAAAAATGTATCTGGGCCTAGTTAGACTATCAGAGACATTTCCTCATATTCCAGAAAAGTTCATTAGAGGGCTCACATGTACAGACATTAGCAGGACAGCAGAGGGAAGAAAGGGAGATCCACTGGGTGAATATTTCCATGCTGATTTAACTAAAAGCACCTCTCATGACAGCATCCCAGGGCTCAGCCTTTCTGCTCAACTCCATCCAGTGGAAGCCAGAAACTGAATCCCATGTCTGCTCACAATACACTATGCAATGGCCTGTATTTGGGACCACAGACACGAGTACTTGTCACATCGTGCCAACTTTTTGTCCCTTGTTCTCCAGTTAAGGCACATCATTCTGTTCCCCATAAACATGAGCACAGTAAGAACTTCTCAGCCAAATATGTAATTGTAGTCCTTTAAAAAAGCACAAAGAATCTGGCAATTAGTAAATTCTACTCGACAAGAATTATGGACTGCTTTGGATGCAGCCCAAACTAGTAAACAGATGTAATGGACCAGTCACGATACCTTGTCCAGCCTTATTTTGACAACACTGTAATTTATAGCAATCCAGGCTGGTGGTGGCCTAACAGGCCAGGCCGGCCACAGGCTCTCACTGCCCCCTCCCAGGATCAGCCCCGTTGCTGATATGTGCACAGATTCGTAGTATGCTATTAGTTTGCAGGTATGTTTTCTTTGCTGGTATTTTTCTTTCTTTCTCTCTTTATTTCTCTCCGTCTCTGTCTCTCTCTCTCTCTACCTTCCTTCCTTTCGGTTTTTGGTCCCATCTCTTCCATTTGATAGGAAGTTCTTACAACACAGGAAACATACTTGCCATTTTCTTTTTATTTTCACCTCAATGCCAAGAAAGCATTCTGCAACAGATTTAGAAGCTAAATAAACCTAAACTGTGACTGTGAGCTAATGAAATAAAGTTCTGGAAATAAGGTTATCAGAGTGCTGTATTCAAATGAGTGTTTTCTGCTTTCAAAGAGCTTCAGAGATGGCACCTTTGCTGATACAAATTTTCAAATTCTTCTTTACGTAATACTTTGGAGTACCTTTATTAGTACAGATGGTACTTACTGCATTCTCCTGAATCAAATATTTTCCATTTGTCTGAAGGTGAGCCCTAAGAGGAGTTCCTACGACATTCTGGTCAGTGATTGCATTATTAACAAAAAGGACAGGGCTTTCTAAGGAAGCTCAGAAGAAGTCAGCATCCACCCATAAAGTCTGGACTGTTAGTTTAAAAAATCATGTAACTTGTAGTCATTCCTGACGTCACTGAACTGCAGTGTGCCCCTGAGAAGTAAAGCAAGGCCCCTGGAGACTCCAGGACTTTTGGAGAAAAAAGGCTCTGCCCAGTGGACTCCAGGAGCACCAGGCATGACAGGACCAGGTTCCATGGTGACCTAAAGAAAAATGAAGCCTGGGAGCTTTTCGTGACCTCCTAGCCCACTGATTTCTAAGTATACTTAGAGGATCTGATCAGATTAATTTTGGGAAAATGCAACAACACTTATTTGAATTTATGTGGCTAATAACAGTACACGTTCTAAACCTCGGTCAGGTCCGGCCTTGACCCATGCCAAAGAGACAGACGATTCGAGGGGCTTCTTCAAGTGTCAAGTACACTGCCTACCATTCTACTATTACGGCAACACTCGTCCAGTTTTAACTCTCACGGTTTCAGGGAAACAGAAATGTAAGTGTTTAACAACCTAGCTCTTGATTTGCTGCCGATGGTTTAACAACGGGACAGCAAAAAATCCTGACAATGCACCCATTAGCTGTTGAGAGCCTGGGCAAATGGGGTCCAGCTCATCCCTGGCAGGTGTCTGACTCCTGGACGAGTGAGAAGCAAATCCTGTAAGAACAGAAAAGAAGCAAGATCGGATACAAGGCAGGCAGAAATGCAGGAAACAGGCCAGAGGTGATACACACCAGCCATCGTGCAATTTTCTCTCCAGCCACTTTGGGTTGGTTACTGAAGAGGCAGGGGTGGGGAAGTGATGACGCTCACCTCACTCCAGTTGCCTACTGTCCAGTCTGATGGACACAAGATGTCTCTGTTGCAGGAAGTGAGGGTCTTGGGCCTCAGCAGGTGCTGGCAGTCTTTAGCCGAGAGAGCCTGCTCATCAGAGCCCATGGTCTGGATGCACAACACCGTCCGCCTCTTCTCTCCGTGGGGCCCACACGTTGCTGAGCATGCTTCCCACTCCCCGGCCCACCACCTGCAGGCGCACATGGACACCAAAAGTATATGGACACATTCAGTTCAGCCACAGGAAAGAGGAACCGGGAGCAGAAGTGCAGGTCGCAGAGCTGGGTGGCCCTTGGAGTTACTCCAGCCCGTTAGAGGAAGACAGGGCCACAGCTGGTTTGTGCAGTCACGGCTCGAGTTCCCCAGAGCACCCGGCTGGAGGGGATGCTACTTAACAGTGTCTCTGAATGAAAAAAAAAAACAACAACGCCCTCTCTCTTTACAGTCAAGAACACTGAGGTCTAGTTTTCTGTTATTACAGCATCACGTCAAGCAAGTTTAAGCCTTACTTTCCTCATCTGTTAAGTGCGTAAGGCAATACTGACTTTATAGGAGTATTGTAGATTAAACAAAATACCAGATTTATATGTAGTGCACCGTACAGAGCCGACACATAATAGAACTTGATCATCTGTAATTATTTGTTGTTATTTTGACGGTTGCTACCGAGTAAAAGAATCTCATAGAATGTAGGTCCCCTGGCTCCTAACTGAATGTTTTTCTTTTCTTCTGTGAAGCAGGTACTGAAACAATTGCTGATTTTCAGTTATTTAGGAGATGGTCAGTCAGAGGCACTGCCTTCATTCCCCCCATCTCCTCCAGTCTACCTACTCCTAGTTTCACAGGTCCCTTTGATAAGAAAGCAGGAGAAAAAGAAGAAACAAAATAATTTCTTACTTCTCAGCTATTCATGACAAGTCAAAGTGTTGACACGGTTTGCTAAATAAATACTCTGGATTCACTGTGGAAAAACAGGGATGCGAGTTCTTTCTCTAGCCCCTTATCGTGGATGACTTACTACAGATTCTAGGAGGTTGACCCTGTGGCTACGTAGAAATAGCTTTTGAAAGTGGCAGGGAGCCCTCTCTGTTTCCCCTTCTCCATCACTGTGTAAATCTTCCCCAGCACGGAAGGGAGAACAAGTGTCTTGATCCAGTGTGGTCTGGGTTCACCATTGTTGGAAAGTACGGCCCACTTCTTTGGCTCTCTGTGCAGTAATAAAATGGAATGCTTCTATTTTTCATGGGAAAATAGTACAGCATGTGAAGTCTTTCGTTCCTGAATTTAAGGAAGACTTCTGTCCTTGAGACAGTATGGACTTTTGAAGAAGACAAAAGTTTGTACTATGATTTATAGTTAGTAAGTATTGGATTTATTGGGGTAAAACTTTTGAGTCTCACACTTTTAATCTCAGGTTAAAAATATATGAAGAAAGCTATTCCTTGATTCTGTTATATTCTTCAATCAGTTACTTTTAAGTTATAAGGATTACTTATTTATTCTTTAGTGTTTAACATCTATAATTATGTAATTAAGATGAGTTATTCATTTATTTATTAAGTAATAATAATAAATAAGTTTACTCCCTTATTCCTTAGTGTTTATCATCTGGCTATCTTGTGTGGATAAAGAGCTAATACTGGAACCACATGATGTGAAACCAAAGGAACGCCCACTTTGGTAATTATGAATCTAGTTACTTCACCCTACTTCTGACATGTCTGGGGGAAGCCAGGAATGTTACCGAATATATAAAATGTCATTCTGGAAGGCCTTTAATAACCTGAGTGGACAAAAAAATATATAATTTTTCAAATTACTTGCTACCAGGCTTTCAGCTGTGTCCCCACAAAGTGATAATGAACCTCCCTATATTTTCTCTTTCTGGGATCTCCCCCACAGTCCCTTGGGGACATTTTGCATCTGTTTGTCACTAGTTTAAAGTGAAAACAGCACCTCCCTTTCTTTAATATTTCCCAGCAAAGGTCTTCCAGGCTCAGGGCTCAGGAACTACTGTCAAGTTGTTTTCTCTCGTCCATTTCACTTTTTGATGTCTGCCATAATGCCAGATTTCCAGGAGATGTATAATAGAATATTGTTTTTCTATTTATAGGAAATCTCCTATAAATGTGACAGAAGGCTGTTGAAATGCCCTGAGGGATTGGTGAGAAGGGCAATGTAATGCAAAGAACTCAGCAGGACAAAAACCCAGCCCACTTATTCACCCCAACAAGACAACCTCCCTGGCTTAATCAGCACAGAATTAACAACAACCTTCCCTGATTTGTTCTGGTTTTGCTATTGATCTTCATCTTACCAGAATGCTGATGACACTCACCACACATCATGTACTGTTTCTTACTGTTTTTTAGACCCCCTACAGCAGTCAATCTCACCACCCCAGTTACAATGTAAAAGTCCTATGGGCGGGGGGGGGGGGGGGGGGGGTGCGCCTGGGTGGTTCAGTTGGTTAAGCAGCTGATTTTGGCTCAGATCATGATCTTGGGATCCTGGGATGGAGCCCCAGGTCTGGCTCCCTGCTCAGCAGGGAGTCTGCTTCTCCCTCTCCCATGGCCTGCTCCCCACCGCCGCCCTTTCCCCCCTCCCTCCTCCCCCCCCTCAGCTCATACTCTCTCTCTGTTTCTCTCTCAAATAAGTAAATAAAATCTTTTTTAAAAAAGTCCTATGGACTGGGGCTCTAGCAAAGATTCTCACTATAACAACAGAGTGGGAGGCTTTAAGAAGCAAAAAATTCTACCAATGACAATGATTCAAAAAGATCTGTTTGATTGCTATGCTTCCCTCTTCTTAAGTATAATTTTCAAATTGTTTGGAGGGAATTGCAGCAAATTATGTTTCCAAGGTAAGAGCAGAAGCTGGGGAACGGAATGGGCTGTCTTGCTCCCCTGAAGTGCAACGATGTGCAAAGACAGAGACCGCAGCTGCAAAACCGACGCTCAGCTCACGGAAAACACCTGGGCGCCGGAAGGCACACCTGTGCTGGCCAGGACTGCCCAGCAGCCGCCGGGTGCCCAGCGCCCGCCTGCGGCCACAGCACCTCCTTTCTCACTGCCACCGGGGCTTCGGTACTGATGGTGGGAGAGGAGGCTGCGTCCCTGGTCCATTTCAGAAGTTTGCTCTGAATCAACAAGCTGCATCCATGCGCTCAGTTTAAGAAGCCTTCCAGGGGGAAAAGGTATCACTTGCCTTGTTCTAACAATGCCGCTTTTAGAACGAAGACATAAAGACATGTCAACTAACTACAAAGCCCCAAGGAGGGCAACGACCATGGGGACAGTGGCCAGGAGGCAGGGCTTTGAGTAAGGGGTCCCCACGGCTGGCTGCTGGTCTCGCCCTGACAACAGCTTGCCTTGCCCATGAATATGCATCTGGTAGCCTGCCTGGTTGCGAGATTCCTTGGGAAGTGACCTATTTGTGCTATTCCAAAAAATTCTTCGAACAATGAATCATGGAACGCTACATCAAAAACTAATGATGTAATGTATGGTGATTAATATAACATAATAAAAAAAAATTCTTTGCCACACATTCCAAGAAGCCCCAGTCCCAGGGTTTTCCAAGCTCTGGAGCGTCTATCACTGGGCTGGGGGATCTCTCCTCTTCGCTTGCGTTAAGCTGCCGCCATTAATTTCCTGTGGTTGCTGCCACAAATTACCACAAATTTGGTGTCTTCAAACAACAAAAATCTGGCTTCTTACAGTTCTAGAAGCCAAATCTTGTTTATTATAGTCCTAAAATCAGTGTTACTGGGATGAAATCAAGGTGCTAGCAGGGCTGCGTTCCCCTAGAGGCACTACAGAAGATCTGTTCTTTGTCTCTTTCAGTTTGTGGATGCTGCCTGCATCCCTCGGCTTGGGGACCATCCCCCCAGTCTTTAAGGCTGGTGTCTTCAAATCTGTCCGTTCTGTCTTCATACCACCGTGTGTGTGTGTGTGTGTGTGTGTGTGAAATTTCCCTTTGCCTCTCTCTTATAAGGACCCTTGCAATGACATTTGGGGCCCAAGTGGATAATTGCTGATAATATCCCCATTTCAAGATGCTTTAATTTAATAACATCTGCAAAGACCCTTCTTCCAAATGAGGTAACATTTGCAGGCTGCAGGGATCCGGGTGGAGATGTCCTTCCAACCTGTCCCATGACTTCACCGAGGGTCAGCTTCAAGTCCACAGAGCTCAGCTGGTATCTTGTAAGAATTCCTTTATCAAGGCTCCACTTCTGTGTCCATGGGCTTCCCCCTCAGCTCAGCCTTTCCCCAAGAGTCCTTCAGCCTCTGGACTCTTGCCCCAACATCCTTCTCCCTCTCACACCAGTAATACCTTACAGTAAAGTCACCTCCAACTAGAAATTTTGATAGTTGGAGTGTGGACTCACGTAAGATAACCACCCTTATGGAAGCTGAATTCTGAAAAGAGTGAGGCCAAGTTTTCAGCCACAGGTAAATAAGAAAATGTCAGCAACAGATTGATGTCTGTTCTAAAGCCAGAGCTGATACCAGAATCTTCTTTGACTGTGTTGCTTTTATATACCTAGCCCATGTCCCCAGAGCTCTATCTTGGCCTCAGCAGGTGAGTGTCTGCATCAAGAACCTTCAGAGCCCACCTCCACACCTAGCACAGTGCTTGCTTTGCTTTGGACACAGCCTGGATGGGGGAGAGGTACGTGCCTGTCTTTGGGGGTATGTAATGGAGGCCACAGACTTATAGCTAGACAGCCCTGGGTTTGAACCTCTGCTAGTTGTATGATACTGAGTGAGGTAAGGAAAATTTCTTCCTCTATAAAACTTACATAATAATAGTTATTTTTCTGAGTAGTTGAGAACAATAAAGAGAAGATATAAGGTATCTCTAAAACATCATCAGACATGAAGGAGGTGCTTAAAAACCCCACTGTTTTCAGGGTGCCTGGGTGGCTCGGTTGGTTACCAATCTGACTCTGGATTTCAGCTCAGGTCATTATCTCAAGGTCATGAGATTGAGCCCTGCATCAGGCTCTAGGCTGGGCAAGGAGCCTGCTTAAGATTCTCTCTATCCTTCTCCCTCTGTCCAGCCCCCCTACTGCTCTCTCTTAAAAAAAAAAAAAAAACTAAAACCCACTGTTTTCTTCTTCTCTACTTTCACATTACTTCTGTTTCAGCAAATGTGTGGGTTTTGCACACCAAGCAATTCTGACCCTTACTATCTGGGGTTAGCACAGACCGGGCAGGTTAAGGGCTCAGCCCCACGACACTGCCCCCACCCCTGCTCTTCACATCCAGGCGGTCATCCGTGCTGCTCCCCAGCTGACTATGAATCAGGGGTTCCCACAACCCCTGCCAAGGGTTTGATAAGTTGCTAGAGGGGCTCACAGAACTCAAGAAAACATTTTACTTACTAGATGACTGGTTTATTATAAAAGGATACAACCCAGGAACAGCCAGGTGGAAGAGGTGCACAGGGCAGGGTCCAGGGGAAATGTGGCAGAGCTTCTGTACCCTCTGCACAGCGCCCCCCAGCACCTGCATGTGTCAGGGGCAGAGACCGAATATACTGCGTTTTTGGTATCACACCACCTCAGCGCTCAATAAACGGTAACTGTTGTGTGGCTATAATCACCACTGTGTCTCTCGTGGGAAGTAACAGAAGCTTAATAAATATTTGCTGGCAAGAGTCAGGCCGAGGGAGACTATGTAATACGAGGAAAATGAGAACCTGAATGCCAGGGACAAAATTAGAGCCAGGAAATAAACAGCTGTGGTTTTGAGAGGGTATCAGCCCATCAGAGCAAGTGTCTTTGAAAAGCGAGGCGAGAACCCCAGGCGTGAGCGTCCCAGGAGCGCAACAGGAATTTACTGGTAGAAGGTCAATAACCTGGAGGGAGACGGAGTGTGAGGAAGCACACGAGCCCCGCAGAGCCACGGGCTAGCGATGAGCCCCAAGAAACGTGCCTCCTTCCTGGCTCCCTCTTCCCGGAGGAGAAATGATAGAAAGTGCAGCTACAGACAAAGCCCAGGGAAGGTGACCATGGTGAGGTGAGGCAGGGCGGGTCCTGCTCCCCCCTCATAGCCCCCTCCTTCCCCGTCAGGAACCACAGAGCTGGACTGAGAATAAATCTTCTGGCTCCGGCTGCTGGGTCCCACCTGTCTGCCCCCACCAGAGACCAACATTGCCTGCCTTGTCTGGACTCTTCTTTTTACCCAGTTCTTCTGGATTTATCACATTCTTCTGGCTCTTATTTAGAGTTCAGTTAGTCACTTGTTTATTTATTTTAATTAATTTTTTTTTTTTTTTTTTTTTTTAGAGAGAGAGCATGCATGAGAGTGGGGCAGGGGTGGGGCAGAGGAAGACAGAGAATCTCAAGCAGGCTCCACGCCCAGCTCGGAGCCCAACCCAGGGCTTCATCTCACAACCCTGAGATCATGACCTGAGCCGAAATCAAGAATTGGACGCTTAACCGAATGAGTCACCCAGGCGCCCCACTTGTTTGATTTATAATACCAATGAGTCCCCTCCTGTTTAACTAAACTCCTTTTAGTATGTCTTCTTAGGATTGGAATGAATGCCTGATGGAATCTGCAACCTAAGTGCAGCCCTACTTGAGGTCACTAGAGAATGAAGACTCTCTCCAGAATTAATTCTTTCTCCCTTCCCTTCCTTCCTTCTCTCTCTCCCTCCCCTCTCTCTGCCTCTCTCCCTCCTCCTCCTCCTCCTTCTTGTTTTTTTTTTTTCTCTCTCTCTCTTTTACCTAAGCCCCTAATAACATTCCAGCCACCTTGTCGGATTCCAGTATCTAGAACCAATATGGTGAGCTGCAAGCAAATAGCTCTCTAATGCTGGTTCTCAACCAAGGGTGCTTTTGCCCTCTACAAGACACTTGCAATGTCTGAAGATATTTTTGGTTGTGACAACCCAGAGGAAGGGGGGGAAGTTGCTACTAACATCTAAGCGGATACAGGCCAGGGGTGCCGCGAAACATCCTACCACGCTACAGCACAGCCCCACAACCGAGTTACCCTCTCGAATGTCAACGGCGCTGACACTGGGGAAGCCGGCTCTGGATGGCCACGCTTGCAGGCTGCCTTACGTGCGATGGGCATGTGGTCTGAAGGGGGACGCCACCGCTGACCGGCACAGTGCTCTCGGAAAAGCTGCACCCGTTAGCTCAAAAACGATGGGGGGATCCATATAGCACTCTCTTCAACACACCCTGAGACTTAGGCTTACCAAACAGACAAACACAGAACACACTGGCTTTGTAAGAAATACTGCTCTGTGGAGAGAAGATGTCCTCACTCACAGCTTTCGGCGGCATCCTACAGCACAGCCTCAGGAACCTGTAAGTTTCCCCGTACTTATTCTAATAACAAAGCCTCACAAGTCTCCTTTATCACTGAGCATTAGATTACAATTAAATCAGACATCATGCTTTTTTTTTTTTTTTTTTTTTTTTAAGAGAGAGAGGGAAAGCGCTTGCAGGGCAGAGGGAGAGGGAGAGAGAGTCTTAAGCAGTTTCCATGCCCACTTCGGAGCCCAACTTGGGGCTCGATCTCACGACCCTGCGATCATGACCCGAGCCAGGTGCTCTCAGAGCCGGGCACTCAACCGACTGAGCCACCCAGGCGCCCCAATCACACATCTTTCTAAGCAGACACACAGAGCTCCAATTCTTATCAGTGCTTACCTGGGCGGACAATCCTTTTCATGGCACTTCTTCTGTTTCCCATTGGGCTGTGTTTCTGGGTCACAAAAAGTAGCTTTCACCATCCCGTGGCCCTTCTTCACGCAATGGGCAGTCTGGCGGCGAATACCTGGGGGTCGGGCAGAAGGGTTCACACATATTAAATCCTGAGCCCACATGCTTAGTGTCAGGGGAGGCCTCTGGCCATGTCAAGTGATCGTGCTTACGGCTGATGGGAAAGTTGTCCGTAGGGTGTCTGGTTTCTAAAGTGTGGGTGAGGAATGGGGTCTCTAAGCCACCCATGCTGAGGCTGCCAGTGCGTGGAAGAGATCGTGCTTGAGAAGGACTACCGATAATACAGGTGGATTAATACATAATCTAACATATAGATTCTAATCTAGCTGTGGAGACAAGATGAACACATATACGCCAAATAAAAACAAAGTGAGATTTTAAATAATGAAAGCAGATATTATCACCAGGTGTTATAATACAATTGCTACAGTTTAATAAAGGAACAGAAAAGGTAAGGAGCTTTATATTAGGAAACTCTGAAAGACAGAAATAAAATTCAAAAGAATGTTATAAAGTTTGAGAGGCTATGTTTCCAAACTAGAGGGTTTGATAGCAGGGACTGATAATATCATTGCCCCCTGAGACCAGGTCGGTAATGTGAGTAAGAGGAGCACGGGGGCGGGGGGGGGCGGGGCGGGGTGGCAGGTTCCACACGCAAACCAAGCGCATCTGTAAGCTGGGTTTAACTTTGGAAAAATAATAATAGCGAACACACCCAGTGCTTGCCTTGTCCCAGGCACTGTTCAAAACTGTATGTGTATACAAATAGACAAATATATATAGACATACATAAATATATAAAAATGTGTGTTACTTATTATCTATTTTGATATATAATAACCCAAACCTCACAACAATCCAATGAGGTCAACATTGCCATTATTCGCTATGTGCAAGATGAAGAAATGAGGGCACAGTGAAGCCACAAAGGTTGAGAGAGGAAAGGGACCACAGTTCTGCTAAGTAAGACATCGTTAGCAAGAGAGGTTAGAGGAGCGACCAGAATGTCACTGATGGAGAAGCACACGGATAGTGAGAAGAGAGTCATCATGCATCTTGAGAGGGTAATGCTTCAATGTTTGATGTGAAACACTAGGGGAGAAGACCGAAGACTGGAAACCCTCCCCCCGGGGGGGAGTCAGAGCAATCAGCTTGCACAAATCTTGGCGCCCTGAACTCTCAGGGCATCCAGGCCTTGAGTGGGCTCACTGGTGTACAGAATTCCCAAATTGGAAAGGCCACAAGGAACCCACAAAGCTGGTCACCGCCTCACTTCGGCACATGGAGGGGTTTCCCCACAGGCACGCAGCTGCAGGACCTGACCTGGAACCCGCTGTCCTGTTCGCCATCTCACACCACCTCCCATGAGTTGTTCCAGCCCAATCTCCTAGGCTGACTTTCATACTCAGATGCCAGAGATCACATCTCATCACTTAAAAATGTCAGAGGGAGTTGTCATAGAGTCAGCGAATCCTTTAAAATGAATCAACGATACTTCTTTTCAATTTTTTTTTTGTTTTTTAAAAAAGATTTTCTTATTTATTTATTTGTCAGAGAGAGAGAGACAAAGAGCTCAAGCAGGGGAGTGGCAGGCAGAGGGAGAAGCAGGCTCCCCGCTGAGCAAGGAGCCTGACACGGGGCGCGATCCCAGAACCTGGGGATCATGACCTAAGCCGAAGGCAGATGCTCAAACGACCGAGCCACCCAGGCATCCCTGAATCAATATTTTATTGTTAAATAAAACAGCATTTTCTTCTTTTGGAGAGACAGGCAACCTTTCAACCACTCAGGCTTTCTCAACTGGTAAGACTGTGTTATTCTTCTTTCATCATATAAATAAAACACTGTCAATAGCTGGAAGCAACGTTATAAAAGGAACTCCCATGGCACAAGGAAGGAGTCCTTGGATAGACACAAGCACCTGTAGAGATGTCTTAGACAATGTCAGTGGAATACAGGCTGAGGTGGTTGAAGCCAGAAACACTGGCGTGTACCTGCCGTGGTAGAACAAAAAAACAGAAAAGCTTAGGTACTTAGAAATTTCCTGAAAACTTCGAGTAGTTTGGCAAATTCTTAATGTCAAAACCTAAAATGAAAACATCAGGTGACTCTCAGAGGTTGGAAATATCCCCCCCAAAAGGCTTGTTTCTGCGTATGAATAGCAAAGATAAGTGTCCTTGCTCAATGCTCCTGACTCCAGAAGTAGCAGAAGGGCACAAAATATTACACAAAATCCCTGTTGCAAAGTTAACAGTATTGCACGGGTCAATGTGCTGGATCAGCAGCGAGCTGAACAGATGGAGTCGGCCAGGCAGATACCGTTGAGTGCATAGGGCAAAATTAATAACGATGTGTCAGTTTCTCTACTGGAATTAATGGTGTTTATCACTATATATTACTTGTAATTTATCTGACAAATACTCTCTATTTATGTGTATGATAAACTATATAAACTTCATTCCACAGCATATGCTTAAATCCATCTCAGTAAATGTTTCTATTATTTTTATGAAGTCTTAAATATTAAAAAAATCTTCCAGATATTGTTAGAGATCAGTATCTTCACTTGGTTGACCCTACCTGACAATTATAGTGGATGAAGCCAGATGGATTAGTACTGAGATTAACGCAATTTTAAAATAGTCAAAGAAGTATCTGACTCTGATTTTCCAAAGAAGTGAATTGTCTTCTCAACATCGGTATATGATCACACATCAGGGTCAGATTCGAATGTGTGTCCCTATTTGTGATGCTCATGCTTTTTTTTTTTTTTTAAAGATTTTATTTATTTATTTGGCAGAGAGAGAGTGAGAGAGCACAAGCAGGGGGAGCAGCAGAGGGAGAGGGAGAAGCTGACTCCCCACGGAGCAGGGAGCCCGATGCCTGGCTCGATCCCAGGACCCCAGGATCATGATTTGAGCAGGCAGACACTTAACTGACTGAGCCCCCCAAGTGCCCCGTGATTCTCATGCTTTATCAAGGATATGTGCACTTATGTCAAATGTATGTCAAACCTTTGTCAAACGGTTATTCTGAGCTTTCATAATATTGAGGAAAGGTGTTCATTACAGCATTACAAAAATGTTTATAACTGCAAAATAGTGGAATGTATAAATAATTGTATATTTGCACAATGGAATAGTACACAGCCCTTTAGTGAATGTACTAGAGCTACTTTCATTAGTGTGGATTTATTTCAAAAGCATAATACTGAGTAAAACCAGCAAGACAACAAATGATACATAGAGTATGATACTATTTACAGAAAGCTTAAATGCCTGAGAAACAAGATTTTTTAATGTATATGGCTATTCACATGTATAATAAAAGTATTTAACAACATGCATGAAAATAATAAATACTGGTTTCATGACCCTAGTTAGCTCTGGGGAAAAAGGAAAGGGAGTGGAGTCAGAGAAGAGCTCTTCAAGTATATCTGTGCAATTTTTTTTCTTTAAACATGAAGATTGAAATAAGCATGAGTAATAGTAAGATCTGAGAAAGCTGAGTGGCCGGTATGCAAGAGTTTGTTGTTACATTCTCCATTTTCCTTGGACATTCGGAACGCTTCCCAGCGACAAAGTGTAAGGCTAAAATAATACAGTAACAGTAAAAACAAAAACAAAACAAAGTGGTTGCTACTACCTGTTTGTAACTCTTTTACTATGGGAATCAATTTGGTAATAAGTTTCTTAATATTACCATCATATTTACACTCTTTGAACCTAGAAATTCCAATTACAAATTACACTAATGAAATCATTCTTTATATGGAATTGGTTAAAGACATTTTGCTTTGTCTTGCCAGGGAAATATAACGCATCCGTAAAAATGATAGCTGTGAAGATTGAGTAGCACTTGGAAAGTTAACCACGTTACCACATTAAGTGAAGGCTTGTATGTACATAAATACATCCATGTGCACACAACTAGATACGTCTAAGACTCGGAAAAGGATACTGAAAGGCAACAAAGTACAAAAATGCATATGCAGGGGGATGACTTTTTCTCTTTTTAATTTTCCAGTAAGGTATTTAACTTACTTTTAAAATATAGGAAGTTTTTGCTCAAAGAAAATAAAACGACATCATTGACTTATTCAGTGTTTTGGGCAGTGTCCCATCTTTATATTTAGCCACGTGAGTCCTAGGGGAATATTAGCATCTCACCCTCTGTGTCTGACAGAGGAAAGTAGAAATGCTGTCTTTCTCCTCCGTCAGAGGAAGGGCTCACTGTCATTCAAACAGGCAGTGGGACTGCGACTGGGGTGAGCACGTGGCCACTGTGGCAGCTCGCTGATAGTTCCTGTTAAGGTTGAACAACCAGGATGACATTTGCCCAAGCAGGCTGAGGATAAGGCTGTTATCAGCACCAAATGCCTCCTTCACATTTGGTCAGGCCATTTCATTTCCTAGCCAGGAAAAGCCTGCACAAATCAGCCATTTATCTTGTATTCCTAGGCTCTGAAATATAGCATGTGTAATGCAAACAATTCATCCCATGCTGGAACAGAAAAGGGAGGGGTTCTCCTATTTTGTGGAGGGACCCCTGCCCATCTGGACTGGCTGAGTTTTCCCTCCTTGGGGTCCAGGGACAGATGATTTAAGCTTGCAGCTACACCTGTACTTCGCTGAAAGAAGAAAAATGGGGATGAGAACTGGAAAAAGTATTGGTGACCACAGTCCCCACAACCTCATTTTCCTCGCAACCGCTCCTCAGGGAAATAGTTTTCACGAACTGATTTTCTGCTTAAATTGCTGGAGCTCCTCGGCCAGCCCAGGCCTCCGGGCGGTGGGGCAGGGCATCTGAAAATGCTACAGCCGCAGCCGTGGGCTGCCACAGCCGTGGACAACCACCACCGACACAGCCCCATCACCAGTTGCTGCCACACAACCCACCTTGGACCCTAACGGATCTCCAGAGGCTTAGGATTTCTAAACATCACACATTCTGAAATGAACATGATCCCCAGGATTTCTAAAAGCTAACCCTTCTTGGTTTCTGTACTGAAGGAGGGAAAGAAAGAAGCTGGTTATACAAACGTTGTTCATTAGGTTGATGGCACATGACTCAGTGTCCGCTGTTGGACCTTTTTCCAGGACTGCTTCCTGGGGCAGGGGGAAAGCAGGTGGATGAGGGGTGCAGAGGGAGACACAGGATGTGGGAGAGAAGCCCATGGCGGAGCAGACTGGGTTCCCCTGAACCCTTCACTCCTTCACTTCCACTCCCTTGGCTCCATCGCTGCATCGGGCACTTGCCCCTTGTGGGGCCTTGGTTTATAGACAGTGGAGACAGACTCAAGGCAGGAAGTTCCAGAACAGACTTGGACATGATCCGAAAGGAGAGACAGAGGCGGAGGACTTCTCATCCGGTACTACTATTAAAGCCCCCCAAACGAGTGCAGAGCCCCAGGTACCTGACAGGCCCAGACCCTGCCCTCCCAGGCCTCAGAGAATTCCATCTAGCCTGCAGCAGAGAGAACCAGTGCCCTACGAATGTCCCTGTGCTTGTCCACACTTCCTGGCTTCTCTCTGCAGTTACTGTACGCAGAGGACTAAGGCCAACCAACGAAAGGTGAGCAGAAATGATCTGTGTCACCACCAGGCAGAAGCCCCAAATAAGAGCCAGTCTGGGACACCTGGGTGGCTCAGTCGTTAAGCGTCTGCCTTTGGCTCAGGTCATGGTCCTGGGGTCCTGGGATCGAGCCCCGCATCGGGCTTCCTGCTCAGCCGGAGTCTGCTTGTCATTCTCCCTTTGCCTGCCGCTCCCCCTGCTTGTGCTCTCTCTCTCTCTTGCTCTCTCTCAAATAAATAAACAAAAATTTTTTTTAAAAAAGAGCCAGTCTGCCTCTTCCAATTCTTTCTTCTCCTGCGGGGCACACTGGGAACCACACCTTTCAGATGTCTTAACTCCAAAATGAAGCTGGGCCACCCAACCTGCATCAGACTTAGAATGGGTTAGAAATAGGGGCACCTGGGTGGCTCAGTTGTTAAGCGTCTGCCTTCGGCTCAGGTCATGATCCCAGGATCCTGGGATCGAGCCCCGCATCGGGCTCCCTGCTCGGCGGGAAGCCTGCTTCTCCCTCTCCCACTCCCCCTGCTTGTGTTCCCTCTCTCGCTGTGTCAAATAAAATCTTAAAAAAAAAAAAAAAAAAAAAAAAAGAAGTGATATTCCGGGGCGCCTGGGTGGCTCAGTCGTTAAGCGTCTGCCTTCGGCTCAGGTCATGATCCCAGGGTCCTGGGATCGAGTCCCGCATCGGGCTCCCTGCTCTGCGGGAAGCCTGCTTCTCCCTCTCTCACTCCCCCTGCTTGTGTTCCCTCTCTCGCTGTGCCTCTCTCTGTCAAATAAATAAATAAAATCTTTAAAAAAAAAAAAAAAAGAATGGGTTAGAAATAAACCTACATTGTGTTGAATTCCTGAGATTCTGATTTCTTTATTATGGTAGCAGAACTTTGTCCATCCTGGGTGCCTGGGTGGCTTGGTTGGTTTAGTAGCATCAGACTCTTGATTCAGCTCAGGTCATGATCTCAGGGTTGTGAGATCAAGCCCCACGTCGGGCTCCATGCCCCTCGGGGAACCTGCTTAAGATTCTCTCTCTCCCTCTGTCACTCCTCTCTCTCTCAAATAAATAAATAAATCTTAAAAAAAATAAAGAACTTACTCCATCCTGACATACTTAACAGCAAGGAATCTCTCCAATGTTCGATTTTATGAGAGAAAACTACTCTCTTCATAGATACAAATACTTGGTAAATTGGAGACAGAAAAAAAAACAGTGGGTGGGAATCAGGAGAGCTTGTTATGGTTTGGATTTGGCCATTATTTACAGTCTGCCTCTGGGTGGGGTGTTTGACTTTTGTAGAAGTCAGGTCCTCAACCAGGTTATTAAGTCTTTCTGTTTTGCTTTTTAAAACACATGTAACGGAGCACTGGGTGTTATATGCAAACAATGAATCATGGAACACTACCTCAAAAACTAATGATGTACTGTATGGTGACTAACATAACGTAATAAAATAAAATTAAATTTATAAAAATAGATAAAAATAAAACACATGTAATACTGTATTGTATTCTTGAAAGTTGCTAAGCGAGCAGATCTTACATGTTCTCACCACACCCCGAAAAGGTAACTCTGCGGGATGATGGGTGTGGTGGCTGGCCTGATGTGGTAAACATTTCACAACACACACGTGTACCAGGCCGTCCATTTGTAGACCTTAAACGTACACAATGTTTTGTGTGGGTTATAGCTCCAGAAACCCGAAAACAAAACAAAGCAAGACACGCAACACTTTTTTCAAACAAAACCTTTCACGAAGGACAGTATAAAGGGAAAACTGCCTCTGTCTTCAGACCATGACCAGCATATTCACTCCCACAGAGGCCCCTGGGCCACGTGTGTGGAAGGCTGGGACCTCTGGGCACCACCCGATGGCCCCTCGTGAAGTGGACATGGATTCACATACATAGCAGCTGTCGCTCACCTGTCCCACACGTTACACTGCACTCAGTCCAACGGCCATACTGCCAGGAATACCCCAGTTTTTCCACGTCGTTGGCAAGGCCATCTTTCCGGATTGTGTACTCATACTTGATGCCGGGGTTAGTCACCTGGAACAGCAGCTAAAAGGCAAAAGAAGGGTGACAACATTTTCATGACTTCATACTACAGAACACCGTTGTGTGACTACACCACAGGATGCCCATCATCTTAGGGACGAAGGCATGCGTCAGAGAAAATGCCAACAAATGAACGTATCTCCACCTCTGCCTCTACATCCACCGATTCATCTCTCTGTATCTGTAGCTCTATCTACCTACATCCGTGTCTTTATCTCTCTATACCTCTTGTCCACTTGATCATTTCTTGGCTGAATTCCCACGGAGGTCTAATCCTATGGAAACTGCTCTGAGGGAAGGCGGTAGCATCTTTTCCGACAACAGACTGGTGGGTCACCTTGCACTCTTGTGAACTTACTAACTTGGTGATTACGGGTAAGTTACTTAATCTCTTTGTGCCTTAGTTTCCCCATTTACAAAGTGAGGATAATAATAGCATGACTAATAGGGGTGTTGTGAGAGTTCAGTAAGTAAATAAATGTACAGTGATTCGCATGAATAGAATAGTGCCTGGCACGCAGTTAGCATTCTTTTTTTTTTTTTTTAAAGATTTTATTTATTTATTTATTTGAGAGAGAGAGAGAGCGAGAGCACATGAGAGGGGGGAGGGTCAGAGGGAGAAGCAGGCTCCCTGCCGAGCAGGGAGCCCGATGCAGGACTCGATCCTGGGACTCCGGGATCATGACCTGAGCTGAAGGCAGTCGCTTAACCAACTGAGCCACCCAGGCGCCCCCGCAGTTAGCATTCTATAAACATTGACACTTATTGTTGTTGCTGTTGTCTTACGAACTCTTCTCCAGCTCTCAGGCTGATTAGTTCCTTTAAAGCATATAGTTCTGGGGTAAAAATTGTCATGGCTTTAGCAAGGCATACCACTCTTGGGGCCTTCTCTTCAGCAATCTACTTATCACACGTTTATTTTTTTAAGATTTTATTTATTTACTTATTTTAGAGAGAGAGCGAGTGAGCATGCAAGCAGGGCAAGGGGCACAAGGAAAGGGAAAGAATCCCAAGTGGACTCCACACTGAACACAGAGCCTGACTTGGGCTCGATCTCATGACCTTGAGATCACAACCTGAGCAGAAGCCAAGAGTCAGACACTCAATTGACTGAGCCATGCAGGCGCCCCTTACTACACATTTAAAATGGATTAATCTTAAACTTAGAGGTGATGGATTGGTTGCTCCTTGGGATCTGGGTTCCCATATACAAATCCTTTGCCAAGCAGGCAGGTAAGATGTCAGGTAGACATTTATGAATCATAGCTGTCAAGCCTTGATTTCTGGCTTTTGTGAGTGCTCTGATCTCTGGCTCTGGAATCGCCTCCCTCTAACTTCTGAATATGGTTAGATCTGACTCTTTCTTGGGCCATTTGTCATCCCCAACCTGCCTCGTCTCTACTGGTATAATGATTCCACTCTTTCTCTATGGTTCCTGGCCAACATGAAAGATGAATCACCCGTGTCTTTAAAGTGCACATACTACATTCTGATCCCCTCCTCCCCTAAGAGTTTCACAAAGTCAAACCTCCTGCCTACGAACAACCACATGATAACATATGAAAAAAACATGTCAGTCCATCACCACTGCTGGAAAGCTACCTGGAAGCTCACGCCAGACTGACGTCGACTGACAGCATCCTCTGCACACCTGAGAAACAATCACCCTCAAATGAACAGCCTATGTCAATCATACTGGAAGCTGAACTCAAAACTCCCAGTAGATGACTTCAGGGCCCAAGGCACTTCATTATCGGGGTTTCAGCAATTTCTAGGCAATAAAGGATTAACAGCACAAAATAATATCTTGCTTTCCTCCCTGCTCCTTGTTAAAAGAAGTTTTAAGGGTTCTTAATGAGTGCCCCCTAACAAACACCTTGGGAAAGAAACAGAAAGACCCTAACTAATACACACATGAGCAGCTGCCTTTGCTTCTGCATTACCTGGATCCACACCGACTCATTGGTGGGACCTGTGGCCATCAGTCTCTCCAGGTCTCCTTTCCTGTCATATTGGAAGGTGGTCCCCGCCAGCTTGTAGTTCCCATTCCACTGGATAATGAATCCTCCATTGAGGTAATATTTTTGGGGGTCTTCACTCCTGATGGCCAAAAAGTTTCCAGCTCCCTCAACCTCCATTACCCGTATGTCCCTTGCTCCTTTTGGAATCAGTCCGATGTCCACATAACCTAAGGAGAGAAGACACGATAATGAAAGAGGCACACTAGCTTAGCTGAACACAATCTGTTTCTGAGCAATCATTCATCCCCACTGTTTAGCGCCCTTGCCTTCTTCCTGGGTGGTCACTGGCATGAGCAGATGCACTAGTCACGGGGAATTTTTAAGAGCTTGGCCAGGAGTGGAATGCCCAGCAGCTCTGTGACTCAGGATGCACACAGTTTTGTGAGGAGAGATGAAATAAATGCAGACTGGACCCTGAAACGTTTGTGGTTGATCCAGCATTGACTTTTCTGTGATTTTAAGTTGACAGTTGATAGTTGACAGCCCCTAACTAGCTCTCCATTTGCATTTCTGCTCCCCCTTTTGTTGCTGCTATCAGATGAATCTTTTCAACATTGCCCCGGGTACACCCTTCTCCTCATTCGTCCTCACTGCCTGCAAGTTAAAGACAGACTCTTAGAAATCATCTAATTATAGCTTAAATTCATTAAGAGAATCCCTGAGGGAATCTTGGATTGATTTGCCACCTGGCGCTCTTGAATATAGCTTGTGATGAGAAACTCAGCTCGCTCTGAGCACAGCTTTTTATACTGCTGGACAATTCTCTTCATTAGACAGGTTTTTTCCTTACTTTTTATGTTTTGCTGAAATATGAACTTACATTCTACTTTTGTGAAAAAGCACAGAGGGCATCCGTTTAAAGATGGCAATCAATTCTAGGTATAGTTCTACCCTTATTTACTGGTTGTCATGGCAGGAGACATGCCGGGGACAAAAGGAATTAACACATAATGGTTTCCTCCCTTTGGCAGACTCTGCGCTGAGGACCTTATGCATTTACCCTATTTGTGCTTCTTAAGAATCATGACCTCATAAATGTGATAGAATGGAAAGAACATGGCCTTTGGGGATGACATGCAAACGTGCCAGGGCAGGGGGGTCAGAACACGTGAGCCCTAGTTTCTGCATCATCTTGAGTGAGCTCTATGGTGTTCATTGACTTATTTAATGTCTTCGAATGTCATCTGTACAATGAAGGGGCTCCAACAAGATGGTGTCTGACATCCCTCACAACTCCGATATTCAATTGTTTTTCTCTTTTCCAAGTGAAACATTCCTTTTTCTTTTAACCTTCCCATACAAATGCTGGCTTTAAAACCCTGATCATCCTGGTCATTTTGCACTGGAGAGATACTAGGTTTTTCAACCACAAGCAAACCTTCATCTCTGTCACCTGAAAGTGCCGCAACCGTTTCTTCTCCCTGAGACACTACAGTAGTGGGGAGTCCTGGGGAGCTCAAATCCTAGGGCTGGCCAGCAGGTATGATTTGCTCAGAAGCTCAGGCCATACCCTCAGCTCCATTTTTCAAACTGGCAGCTCTCATTCAGCCAGACCAAAATGCAGGTCTTGTAGTATTTGATTCAATTCCATTTGGCCCTTACAATACCTGCCTGAAATAGCTGATTAAACCTACAAATTTTTTTAAAAGATTTTATTTATTTGAGAGAGAAAGAGAGAGAGAGAATGTGAGCAGGGAGGGGCTGAGGGAGACCGAGAGAATCTGAAGCAAGTTCTGCGCTGACCATGGAGCCCAATGCAGGGCTCGATCTCACGACCCTGAGATCATGACCTGAGCCGAAACCAAGAGTCAGACACTCAACCGACTGTGTCCTAAAACTACAAATTTATAACTAGCTCAGGGAAAATATTTATCACGTGTAATTGAGGCTAACACAATTTTCTGAAATGCCTTTGGAGTGTTGCGACCAACAGCCACTTTCTGACTTGGGATGTCGCATGCCTTCTCATAGCAGAACTCATTCAGGAAAATCAACTGGCATGAAATATTGTGGTGACCACCTTATCTCCTTTGTTTACAGACAAATAACAAAACAACCCCCCCGCCAAAAAAAACCAATGAGAACTAAATGGAAAAAAATCCAAAAGAGTTGTTTTTTATCTTTCACTTAAGAGAGAAAATCCAAAATTAGAAATGTTTATCATGGCAGATTCTTCCAAATTCAAATGGGAGGTACATCAAATTAGAATAAAAGTTTTCAGTGACTATAAGTGCTGCTTCTGAACAGTTTACAGACAGAAGATGTAAACCGAGACAGATTTAGCCATGAGCAAAAGTAATGCACATTTACAAATATATATATTTGTAAAAGAATATCTAAGGGGAAGCCAAAAAATAAAATTATGGTAATTTGGAGTTAAAAATAACCACAATATATCCACCAGACTCCTTTGCACATGACCATAAAAGCCCACACTTTAGAAGAGGATAAAATGAAAAGTAAAAATTTCAATTTTCCTTCATCTCCAGTCCTATGTTCCAAAGACAATTACAGTGAATAGTTTATTTGATTTCTCTTCCAAAATCTTTGTTTGCATGTATAAGCCCATATACACATATTTTTTTAAACAAGTGGGATCATATTACATGAACTATTCCAACTATTGCTTTTTAAATTTAATATACCTTACATATCTTTCCATATTTTTTGAGCATTTCAACAACAGCAAAAATGACATAAACCCATTTATTTAACCAATCTGCTATTAATGGACATTTAATTGGAAATGAATGGCGACAAACAGTTCTGCTTACCAAATGAGAAAACCGAGTTCCCATGAGAGGAAGAAATCTATGCCACACCACACACCTAGGTGGAAAGTACATATACCTATATCTAGGGTTGGCTAGCGAACTCTTAAAATCGCGTTCTTAATAAAAAATGTGGTTGGTAGAAAGAGATTTAAAAAATCCTGAGTATCTTATCCTCAAGGGTCTTCTTCACAGAAATGAGAATCTTATTTAAAAGTAAGGGTGGAAAGTCTCTTAGACATTTATTCTGTGTCAAAGGAAGGCTTTCAGGGTTGGTAAGACTATCTCCAAAGTGTTAAGAATGGTGAATTTTTCATTCATAAAATCACTTCTCTCCCACCTTCCCTAATAAACATTAGTCATTTGCACTAGTACTGGGACAATACTGGGAAAACTGGGGAAGTAGGAAAATGTAATCTTGACCTCAAAGAAGGAGTCTGGGCCCGTGGAGACTCACCTGGAGAAAACATCCCATCACTGAGTCCTGAGCCCCTTGAGCTGAAAGAATACTCAGGGCCTCTGGGGATGGGGCAGAAGACTGGCCTCACTTCGCAATTATCCTAAGAGCTACAAGAGATTATTGGTGCTAAAGTGCATCTTATCCAACGGTTCTTTGTAATCCACCAAAAAGGATTTACCCAGTGGCGTATGTGGTCTCCAGTCTGTCACTTCTAATAAAAAATGTGCTCATAAAGAGATCATATTAGTAACCCCAGATATCTTTTTAAAGCTCATCTTTTAAAAAAGATTTATGCTGTCAGTTCGAGGTGAGCAAAACAACCCTCACTGTGGGCCCAACTCTTATGGTTTAATGTGAGGAGGCTCCTCGGAAAAGCCAGTCCATCTTCTGATGCTTGCCTTGACAGCAATGAGAAGTCAATGTCAAGTTCAGGTACAACCCTGCATTTGACCCTCTCCCAAATCAGAGGAAGGAAGAATTATGTACACATAAATGTGTCCGGCAGATCTTTTGAGAAGTCCAAGTGCCATGACCTACATTGAGAGTTTTAGCTTCAATTATTTCAAAAAGCAGGTTGTAAGGGCACCAGAGCCTTGGCACATGCAATGAGTAACCACAACCCTCTTGCTAGAGGCCAGAGGAAAGGAGACACAGAAGAGGGAACAGATGTTGACAGGGGCTTCCTGACCCTAAATGCTTCTGGGACAAAGAGTGGCAGCCCGGAGCTCTCTTGATAAGAAAACTGTCAAGTAGAGGGCCCAGTCCCTCTCCTTCCCTTCCCATTCCTTCCAACCTGGGATTTCCTAGAAAACATGACCTAAGACAGTCTCCAAGTAAGGTGATATTCTGGTTTCAAGGAAGCCACATCCCTTCTTCTTGCGATGCATTACCTTCTGCCTCAGACTTCCTCTGAAATGTTTTTTTATAAGATTCTCATCCTGTCTTTGTGGACTCATCTCCTAGCCCTGGGCTCCCCTGTCCCAGGCAGTTGTGTGTGTTGTTGGCAAACCATTCTTCTTGGACACTGACCTCCTCGTGTCGTTCACCCACCTGAAATCACACAGCAGACCCTATTCTCTCTTAAGCCAATAGCAAACTGAACCTTGCAGTGTAGCATAGAGACAACCTTGTGTCATGAAGCCATGTCATCGGTTCCTAGAAGTGTCTCTTCCTTCTCACTGCCCAGACTTGTATCTGGACCTTGCGCATACTGCCACCACAGCCCCCCAACCTGTGTTGTGAGGTGTTCTCGATGGGTTCCATTCCTTCATGAGTGTCCTCGGTGTGTCACAGAGACTAAAAGTGGCCCCAAGAAAAAGTTGAGAATCTGCCTCATTATGGGATTAAGATAGCAATCTTAACATAACTTGAAACTGGTGTCAATTCCTAACTCCAGGTGAATCCAACCAAGAAGATCAGTGGCAGAGACTAGGGAGCTACAGCTGGAAGAAGGAAGCACGTAAACATACAGGCTCGAGAAGTGGGTGGGCATCCGGGAGGTCAGGTTTGAGCATAATCCCAGGCAGTTGCTTCTTTCACTACATTCCAGGAATCTCCTAAAGATGTGGATACCAGCAGCAAGGGTTTCTAGAAGAAACTTTCTGTGCCCTTCCTCTGCTTTCTAGACTGCAGATTTTTTTTCATTGTGAAAATGAAATTGTGACGTATATCAGAGGAAACTGAATTAATTTAAATATACCAAGAGAGTTACAATAACTCTATGATGGGCATCAAACCCACTAAACAGATATGCAAGTGTATTTAATATATATTTCATAATATTTAATAAGGAGAAAAGATATTAAAATAAAAGTCTGAGCACATTCCTGTTATGGTGAAATAAAGGAGGTAGGATGCAAGGCTGCCGGTTTGGGCAGTGAGGTAAGTGATGCAATTACCTGCATGAGAGTCCCGGGGCGCTCAGAGAATGGGGTCGCTTTTTCCCAGCACCAGATGAAAGCAGCCAGTGTGAGCAAGACCAGGACCTGGTTTAGTGGTCACTGGGTCTGGCATTAGTCAAGTCTGGAGACGCCAAGCAAGGCCAGAGGAGTCAAGAGTGGTCATTTTAGGAAGCCAGTGAATTAGTCCAAGAGGCTAAAAACTGTCGGGTTTTAACATTTAAGACCAAGGTAGGTGAGGCATACAGAATCAAGGAAATTAGGCAACAGGAAAAAAAAATCCAAGCCTGAGGAACTAGACAACAATGGGTCAGTGTTGTAGGCCAAAAAGAATGGGCTACAAGAGTTTGGGATGAAGGTCAATGTTGTGGGTAACAAGCCCAGGGTGCCCTTGGAAGAACAGAGCTTAATGCTCTACCACTTCCTTCTGAACCAGGCTCCTCATTTAAGTTCTGCCTCAGGGCCACATGGCAGAGTGGAGGCCAGGCCTGTTACCTGGACAGGGTAAGGCAGAGAAGGCAGTGGAAAGAGTCATTTTCTTATTCGTCATTCTATCCCCCATGCCAAGCACAAAATAGGTACTTAATGTTTCTCAAGTAATAGAGTGAATGAATAAATGAATGAGTGATGATATCTGTACACAGTTCACTGTGTTCTGGACCTAAGTTCTTTAATTCCAGACACTTCTACTCACAGTAACCATGGCACTATCCCAAGAGGGCAATTCTTTTTTCTTTCTCCAAGAGAGGAAATGGAAGCTATTCTGGAGGGTCTACAAGATAGTGGGCCTTATGTTCCCCAAGTGTGACACTAACTAAAAGGCATGATGCTGCCATGTGACACACAGTGTCAAATCTACTAAATGAGTTCCTCTTCACAGAGGTAGACAGGGACTTAGTTGTTGGGACAGTCCAAGAAGGCCATGGATAAAGATACCTTCTCCTGGAGACTCAGACCAATTTCAACACTTAGGTATCAACAAACAAATGATCAGCCTTAGGGCTGAGGGCAGTGGGAAGATAAGAAATACCAGACAGGGCTGAAAGGGGCCTCACAAATGGAGGTACAATGGGGTGATTTCCCCATGGTCAATGGTAATCTAGATCAGCACCTGGTCTCCTTTCCCAGCCTATTTTAATTCCACATCATCCATCATCCTCCCTCTTTCTTAGGAGCACTCACAAAACCAAACCAAACCAAACCAAACCAAACCAAACCAAACCAAACCAAACCAAACAACAATAAAAAAGAGGAAAAGGGACTTGGCTAATATTTTATGCTTCCATAGTCAAAGGGAGCAGCAGTGAGAGAGGAGGAGAAGCTGGGTCTGACCACCATGTGCATCTCTAATGCAGACTTCTCCACCTACACTTTTGTTTTAAACCACTCTGTTAAAAGAAAGCCACAAGCCAAACTAAATAGGAAGGAAGAACACAAGTAGACGCATGGATCAGTTAGGCTATGCAAAGTTTGAAAGAGTTTTGGATTCTTCTAGGTGACTGATTACATATTCCCATTATTTCCTAGTCACAGAGATGACCTTGCCTCAAGTGCTAGTGCTACCTCTTGCCCAAGTTCACTGTTTTTCTGGTGTTGTCTGATGGTTGTTAACTTCCCTCAGAAAGGAGACACTGGGTTTTCTCTCAAGGTCATGGTTGTGATAACAAGGCTCTGGAGATCTGACGCCTAAGTGCCAGGATAATGAAGCCATCTCCAACCACAGCCCCCATGTAACCAACTGCAGAAACATACTTGCTCTGGAAGAATCCTCCTTCAGGTCTCCCCTCATATCACAGATTCTTGAAGGTGCCTTGACCCGGGAGACGAAGTTACAGTGTGAACCCCGTAAGCCAATCACTGCTACCCACCAAAGAAACCATAGTTCTTCTTTTTTATTTTTTTAAGAAACCACAGTTGAGGGTGGAGACACAAGGAGAAAAGAATACTTCAGGATATGCACAAGAAGGGGAAAACTCTGAGATTTATGTCTTTGGGCCACAGTAAGAAAGTGACCCAAACCCAGTATTATAATATTAGGTTTATAATATTACAGTTGCAATATTGTACCAATCCATGGTAAAACAAAAACAACCAGAGCTACAACACTACAGCTAAGCCAGCAGGAACAGGACAGCGCAGAGGAAAAATATCCAATATTCCATCAACATAACTGTAAAACAGTTAACGACTTGTCTCCTTTATTGTCAAAGGGATATGGAATCAACCTTAAGAAAACCTTTTTTCATTTGCATTTATATGAGCGCTCACTGAATACCTCCTACAGATAGAAATAACATTTGCTGACTTGGGGTTGGGCAGGGTGGTGACAAAGCCTAAAAGACAATTCACCCCTCAGTTTATAACTGCACTAGAGAGAAAGAATACAACGTAAGGAGAAGTAAGGCAGCATGTGAATACGTACAGAAAACAACTAACTATGCCTTGGGTGTCTTCAAAAAGAGGATGTTAAGTTCCCTCTTTTGACTTTGGCCTTTGAGTTAATCAATCTGCCCAGAGCCATCTCATTCCATTTCCCATAGTTTTGCAGTATTTCTTGGTTTCACTCCTATTGTGGAGTGGTGGCAGCCAGGGTCTTTATGACGTATCTGGCTTTATTAGGCATGCAGCAAAGGTGGGATCTGCCTGGTGGGTAAAAGGAACACAGACAACCCTGCTGGGTGTTAACAGAGTCCAGAGCGAGATCTGGCTGGATTTCCTCACCGCGCTGGGGTTAGCAGTGCCAGAGAGCTTTGAGGCTTTCTCAGGATACGCACAGTCTGAAGTTGACACCACTCCCTGGGTGCCAAGAGCCAGCAGAAGCTCTCTGGGAAGCAAATGGGAGAAGAAGGACTGCAAATCAAAGGCACGAGGGATGCCAAATCTTCGGTGCTGGGCATGTGGCTGGAGGCATTAAGGTCTCTAAGGCAGGGGTGGGGGTAGGAGGGAAGCTCCAGATGCTTCTGGTCTTTTCCCCCACTCCCAAGAAACCAGAGTAGAGTCAAGAATCCAGAACTAAAGCCCATATTCCTAAGGGCTTAGTTAAAAGGTTAAGTGGTGGACATTTGAGAATGAAAACTGCTTTTCAAAAGAGTTACCATAATGTTGGGAGCACAGCATATCTGAGGGCGAAGATATGAACTCCCATAGATAAATAATAGGGAGAGTAAATGTAGAAACGTGATTTTAAGGGTGACTTTATAATCCAAGTAAATAAGGTCACATCTAACTAACAGAAAATATTTACATAGCATCTTTATAAGATTGAATAAATATTAGCTATTTATTTATCATACGCCTAAGAAACGCTGGGTTATCATTCACATTCCAAATAAGTGATTCAAAGGACACGTTTCATGCATACAAAAGCCATCAAATAGAGATAAATATAGTCCTTCAGTGATAATTCTAAAGAGCAAGATAAGCATTTCACTTTACAATTTAACCTTATTAATTCAATAGTCAAAGATCAAAAAATAGGGATGAAATTAAACAAATTCAGGTCGTCCACTGTGACGTGTCCTGGGGGCCAACAGGGCATTTAATCAATGCACCTGGTACTCGAGGGCATACTTAGTAACTTCATCCTGGGCGGTGAGCATGTCTAAAAGAGAGGCACTGCTTTGTCGGGACCCAGGAAAAGGGTGGCCCACTACATCTGGGAGTCCCTGTCACTTCCCGCCCCGGGTAACACTCCAGTGTAGACACCGCCCCTCTCTCCTCAGGCCCTACCTGGGGAGTGCACAGTGGACTCCCTATTCTCAGCATCTGCATTTCTTTGGAATCCAGAGAATTAACAACCTAACTGCCCCCTCCTCAAAGTAGCCTCAAGCAGTGACTGGCGAGAGTTGGCATGTATGGTCTCAGCTCCTTCACCCCTTGGGTGGGAAAATTCCAATGTACAACTTCGACACTGGCTCCTATATAATGGTCACTGGCTTAATGACGCACCCTTTCTTGGCTCTCCTCCTTTCCCCATTTCACTTCTTGAATGCCCTACTGGTGTTTTCCAGGACCCCCCGACTCGCAAGTAAACTCTTGGTTCCTGGATTCTTGTCTTAGTGTATTTCGAGGGGCGCCTAAACTTTGATACTCCGAGCTGTCTTCATCATCTCTGGGCCGAACTTAGCCTCCTCCCAAGACGGCTTCAGCTATCAATCACTGCTGGTGTCAAGGGACCGGCAGTTTCAACTGAAGACAAACAGGCAGGGTCATGGCTGCTTCGGGGTGAGGGTGGGCTCTTCATTCCCGAGGATTATTAGTAGCCCAGAGCCGCACAAAGTAGAAATCTTGTGGAAGGTCATCATGGGAAAGGAACGGCAGAGCATGGGTCAAGAGGGGACGTCAGGTGGCAGCCGCCCCCTGGGACACCATAGGGCGGCAGTGGGTGGGACCCCCTTCCTGGGAGAGATGGGGAAGAAGAGCAAGCCCAAGCCACCTGGCCTTGCCTCTCCTTTGTCCCTGAAGGTGCACTCCGAGCCTTCTGCCTTAAAGCCCACTGCTGGCTTCTCTGCCCTCTCCCTGAGAGCCCGCCCTGTGTCTACACACTTCATGGCCAGCTTTTGAGCTCTGTCTCCCCCAGTTGAGTTTGAGGTCCATTCCTATACCACTGGCTTCAGCCCCGGGTGCTCTCCCAGGAAGGACACTCATTCCCGTTCCCGGGGACAGCCCCCAGGCAGTGGGAGACTTAAATCCCCGTGCAGTGGGAGACTTCCTGTAAGTGCCCAGCAATCAGCCCCATTCCTAAACCTGTCAAGGAGCCCTTATGCCTTTGTCTGGAAGGCTACGTCCCTGCGGAGTTCTTCGAAAGTTACAATCTGCTTTAAAACACAGCCATCCATCTTGCCCTCCATTCTCAGTCCCCTGCCACTTCAATTATTTGTTTGTTACCAGATCCTTCTTTCTGTTTAAACATCTTCTTCACGGTCTGGCAGGCAGAGCCATCCCCAAGGCACACCCCGCAGCGATCCTCCGTGGCATTGGAGCCGATTTCGTAGTCACAGCCGACCATCTGTGGGGAAGAGAGGCTGAGGGTCACCGACACGGACAGGGGACCCCACACCCGCCTTCTCCTTTTCCCCTTCACTCTTGATGAGATCGGGGCTGGGGACAGATACAGGGACAAACGGTTCCTGTCCCTGGGGGCAGCCAGAGGAGTAACCACAGCATCCACCGATGGTAAAGGCACACTGAGTGGGTCTCTGGTTTCCCCTGAGTCACAGCCGGAACTGAACACCGTTCCAAACATTCAACATCGAAAATGTCTTGGGGGGCGCCTGGGTGGCTCAGTTGGTTAAGCGACTGCCTTCAGCTCAGGTCATGATCCTGGAGTCCCAGGATCGAGTCCTGCATCGGGCTCCCTGCTCGGCAGGGAGTCTGCTTCTCCCTCTGACCCTCCTCCCTCTCGTGCTCTCTGTCTCTCATTCTCTCTCTCTCAAATAAATAAATAAAATCTTAAAAAAAAAAAAAAAGAAAATGTCTTGGAATCACAGCTGCTGGAACAGTAAACCCCCTTCTGATGTGCAAGCCTCATGTCCCCTCGTCTCTGGTGAGAATTCCCAGGGATGATGGAGTTACTCCGCCTATAAAGTGGTGGTCCAATCCCTTGCCACGCCTCCCTGGGGTGATCCCTGCCTCCTGTCTGAGCACAGCGGGTGAGCCAGTGGCCACCAAGAGGAAGGGCTGGCTCGATGCTGAGACTCCGTCAGTCCCATGAGGGGTGACATCTCTGACCTGTGGACCATCACCTGATGCTCTGCAGCCTCCTAAGACCCAGCCCCCACTGCACCTCACACGTAGCCGTATCCCAGCCATCGTGAGCTTTCTCCCGTGAGCCGAGACTGACCTCGCCCATGCTCTGGACAGGATCCCTTCCCAGGGCTCTGCCCATCGGCCCTTCTCTGTCACCTTCTTTCCCTCGCCATGGATCCTTCTCCTCAGCCAAGTCTTTCCCACCCGAAAATCCCCATGCTGGGAAAGGAGAGCAATTAAACTGGGGCTGTTCAGTAGCATCAGAAACCAAAAAATCATGACACTTAGACAGAAAGTCACGAAACACATGAGCCTCCCCTGGAGGTCTTTGTTGCTTGCTCTCTGGCCAAAGAGAGAGGGAAACTGGACCATATTCTACTAGTCAGACTTCTCTGCTTGCAAAGAAGTGTGCCTACGCAGTTTTATTTTTATTTTTTTCTCCTTCAAGGATAATTCCCTTCCTTGTTTTATTTTTTATATTTCCAAGTTTGTGTTTTAATCCCATTAGAGTTAACATGCAGTGTCCTATCAGTTTCAGGTGTACAGTAGAGTGACTGGGCACCTCCACAGAGAAGTGGTGCTCATCACATTTCCTTTCTTATTTTAGAGCCAACTCAAATTGACTGAAAGGAAGAACAGTTTGGGTTTTTAAATACACCCTCCCTCCACCAGCTGAACAGAGAATTAATGGCCGGTGACAGAGAATACCTCCATTCCTCAAACTGTCTCTTTAGGTCCAAGGATTGTGTTACGTGACCCAGTTGGGAAAAAAATAAAGTGCTAAGAGATTTTTAAAAAATTAATCATGCTAATCACAATAAGAAAAAGAAACTGTCTGGATGTGTACTCAGTGGTCATGAGTAAAATGTCAGCCCTTCACAAGTGATATGTTTACATCAAGCTTGAGCATACTCTGATAAGCCGATCCTCACAGGTCATACCCCCAGAGACTTTCATTCCTTCTCTCATTTGGGATGAGCCAGGAAATCAACTGGGAGACACAGTAAAGTGTTTTTTCAAATCTCTACCAGAAGAGGATAGATACAAATGTGAAGAATAACGTTAAGAAAGCCAGGAAAACAAATACAGTGAGCCCATCTTTCTCTCCAGCAGTATCTGTCTGCATACTTGGGGCTGGAGGTGGGGGTGGGGGAGGGAGACAAGGCATATTCACTGTCCCACAGCAAATTAGAGGGGTTCTTGTAGAGGCGTCACCTCAACTGCTTCTCCCATCAGCAGCACCCAGCACAAGCAACACTGCATCCAGTGTCTAACACGAGACCTAGGAAGACATAAGCCAGTCCCCCTTGCTGCACATAAAACATAAGGGCTCCCAGGGGAAAGCAAGCAGATGTCACTCTGCTTTTTCGTGCCATGTGCTCTGGCAAGGGGGCCCACGACAATATTGTATTTCCGCCTTCAGCAGAATCAGAGGTGGCTTTCCCGCAGCTACCAAACGCGGACAATGAGTCCAGCAAGGGTCTCCTCAGATGGGACTCCTCACATGCCTGACTGCCACTCCAATGAGCAACATTAAAAAAAAAATAATTTAAATTTCCCATTGTATAATTTCTTTCTTTAAAAAACAGCTTTATTGGGGTGCCTGGGTGACTCCGTTGGTTAAGCGTCTGTCTTTGGCTCAGGTCATGGTCCCGGGGTTTTGGGATCGAGCCCTAGGTCCAGCTCTCTGCTCCGTGTGGAGCCTGCTTCTCCCTCTCCCTCTGCCTGCCGCTCCCCTGGCTTGTATGCACTCTGTCAAATAAATAAATAAAATCTTTAAAAAAAATACCTAAGGGACTTCTGTGAGTCCCAATTTCCTCATCTTTAAAAAAACAAATTAATTAAAATTAAAAATTAAAAACAGCTTTATTGAGGCATAGTAGATATAGAAAACACTGTCCACATTTAATGTGAACAACCTGATGAGCTTGGATTTACACAAATACCGGTGAAACCATCACTTACCATCAAGGTAACAGGCATAGCCATCCCCCCCTCACAGCTTCCTTGTGACTCTTTCTGTGTGTGTGCTAAGAACATTTAACAGGGGATCTAAGCTCTCAACAAATTTTTAAGTGTACTATACGGTATATTAACCACAAACACCATATCCACAGTGATGTCTAGGACTTGGCATCTTGCCTGACTGAAACTTCATACCCATTGAACAACAACTCTCCACGGTTCCCTCCCCTCAGCCCTTGGCATCCCTGTTTTATTCTTAGCTTTTGTGAGGCTGACTATTGCAGATTCTCATGTAAGTAGAATCATGTGGAGTTTGTTCTTCTGTGAGGGTCTTGTTTCACTGAGCATAATGTCCTCCAGACTCATCCCTATTGTCACAATGGCAGGATTTCCCTTTTTTTAAAAGCTGAATAATATTCCATAGTATGGATACAACATGGTATATACCACATTTTCTTTGTCTACTCATCTGTTGATGGACATTTGGGTTGGTTTCATAGGTTGGCTGTTGTAAATACTGCTGTAATGAACATGGGAGTACAGATATTTCTTCAAGATGCTGATTGCAATTCTTTTGGATACACACCCAGAAGTCCCACGTCTGGGTCATATGGTAGGTTTTATTTTTAATTTTTTGAGGAAACCTCCATATTGTTTTCTATAATGGCTGCACAATTGTACATTCCCACCAACAATATGTAGGGTCGCCATTTCTCCACATCTTCAGCAACACTTATCTTTTGGTTTTTTGAAGATAGCCATCCTAACAGGTGTGAGGGGATATCTTATGGTGGGTTTGATATGTATTTCGATGTTCAATAGTGTTAAACACCTATTCATATACCATTTGTATGTCTTCTCTGGAGAAATATCTATTCAAGTCCTTTGCTCTTTCTTTTAATCGGGTTGTTTTTCTGCTATTGAGTTGTAGGAGTTCCTTACACATTTTAGATATTAACCCCTTGTCATATATATGGTTGCAAATATTTTCTCATTCTGTAGATTGCCTTTTTATTCTAATGATTATGTCCTGTCAGAAGCATATCCATCAATTCTTGACCCTGTCATTTGGACTGAAGTGCACACTATCTTGAGTACTAGAGATTTCAGGTTCCAGGCTTTCATCCAGGCCTCCAGCTCTGTTAGTGAATGCGTTATATGTATTCTTAGCAATTCTCACATTTTGCTTATGAGTTAACACTGTTTTACTTTGTAAATTCTCAGGGGACAGAGAAGACCTGAAATAACAACTGGTGCCAAGACCTGATCCACCTAGAATGTCATCACTGCTCCCTATAGCCCCTCGGCAGAGGTAGACAACGGAAGTCTGCCTGGTTCTAAGATGAGACTTGTTCTTAGCTGGTGAAACTCCAAGTGTAATAATGGGGCAGAGTTACGCTTCCCTGAAAAGAACAGGTAAATGATACTGCCATTTGATAAAAAGGCTGTCCTCACCATAACTTTGAAGGTTAGGATCTGGCATTCTGGAGAGAGATGTGGCCCAGACAAACTGATAAGGGGATGTTCCACAAATCACTGAAATGGCCAAAATGGCCTGGAGAGAGAGCAAAGCAGGTTCAGGACAGTTTCTGAGAGAAATGAGAGAGGGGAGCTCACGTAGGACAGGTAGAAAGATATCACGTAAGGTGGAGGACTAAACTGGGATTCACAAAGTTGATTTTTTATTTTAAGATGTATGCAGTAGGCTGAGCCTAAGAGCAGAAAGGGGTTGGGGTGCCTGGGTGGCTCAGTCGTTAAGCGTCTGCCTTCAGCTCAGGTCATGGTCCCAGGGTCCTGGGATAGAGCCCCGCATCAGGCTCCCTGCTCATCGGGAAGCTTGCTTCTCCCTCTCCCGCTCCCCCTGCTTGTGTTCCCTCTCTCACTGTGTCTCTCTCTGTCAAATAAAATCTTAAAAAAAAAAAAAAAAAGAGCAAAAAGGTTGATCGGGTCCAGGGTCCTGGGGTGAGAGGTGGATAAAAGGCTAAGAGAAGTGTGGGAACAGCTGATGCGACAGATCAAGGCATCCGGGCTGCTTGGGAAGGAAGTGAAGCCAGAGCCATGCTGACTGGGAGAAAAGGGGAGAGAGAAGAACCTGAAATCAAGAGCTGGTTCCCAGGAGAAAGGGCTGGGGGCAGGTGTGGGAATACCTGCCCGTAAGTTTACAAGCTTATTCCATGTCCTGCTTGTGATTAAAAATGGGAGATAGGGGTGCCTGGGTGGCTCAGTTGGTTAAGCGTCTGCCTTCAGCTCAGGTCATGATCCTGGAGTCCCAGGATCGAGTCCCGCATCAGGCTCCCTGCTCAGCAGGAAGTCTGCTTCTCCCTCTGACCCTCACCCCTCTCATGCTGTCTCTCTCATTCTCTCTCTCTCAAAAATAAAATCTTTTTAAAAATTAAAAACAAACAGGGGCGCCTGGGTGGCTCAGTCAGTTAAGCAGCTGCCTTCGGCTCAGATCAGGATCCCAGGGTCCTGGAATCGAGCCCACATCGGGCTCCCTGCTCAGCAGGAAGCCTACTTCTCCCTCTGCCTGCCACTTCCCCAGCTTGTGCTCTTTCTCTCTCTCAAATAAATAAATAAAATATTAAAAAAAAATTAAAAACAAACAAACAAAAATGGGAGATAGCCTGAAAAGTCTAAGTTTAAATTCGTATCTTTGATAAACAAGTTTAAGAGTTTAGTACAACTTTTTAAAAAAATGGAGAAGGGCAGCAATAGACAGTTTACCTCCTAGAACAAATTCACTTCTGAGCAAGGCCTGCTGACTCTCTTGACAATGGAATCTGCAAATCTAACAGGCCAAAATGATGGCAAATATCATCATTTCAAAATAGCTGAATATATGAATAAAAGCAAATTCAATGAATGTTTATGTGAAGATAAGCAAACATATTTTCATATTCACAAAGAAGATGGATTAGACACTGCATACATATTTTTTTCTGATGGTGTATCTTTTTATTTCAATATATGTTCAATGCCCTTTGAAAAAACTGTAGTAAATGAGTAAGAAGACTAACAAAGCTGAAAATAACCACAACCTAGATCCTTGGAAGGTAAACTGTATTTAGGCTATTAAGACAAATTTGATTTGACATAATTTTTCAGCTTAAAATCTTGCTCAATGTGGTAAAGAGAGAAAGTGGGTAATTACAGCTTCTAACAAGCCCCAACTGGTTTCCAAAAAGAGGAAGTCAAGCTGAGAGACTCCAGCTTATTCTATTAAGCTGATTTAATTGGTGTCAAGAGAGATACCCAAGATCCCTTATGTTTTGTTCAAAGCACCTGTGTTCTCCATCATATGCTAAAGATACCGTCTCTGTGCTTGCAAAGGTGTTTAGGTCTAACAGAGAATTTTAGCATCGCATTCATTTCTCAGTGATTAAGGTCCTCAGCCCTAGCTGCATATGACAATTACCTGGGAAGTTTTTAAAATGTCAGTGCTCAGGCCCCGAATCCCAGAGGTTCTGAATCAACAGGTTTGAGATAGAGTCCAGATATCACTAGTTTTTTGGGTTTTTTTTTAGATTTTATTTATTTATTTATTTGACAGAGAGACACAGCGAGAGAGGGAACACAAGCAGGGGGAGTGGGAGAGGGAGAAGCAGGCTTCCCGCAGAGCAGGGAGCCCGATGCGGGGCTCGATCCCAGGACCCCGGGATCATGACCTGAGCCGAAGGCAGACGCTTAACGACTGAGCCACCCAGGCGCCCCCAGATATCACTAGTTTTTAAAAGCTCTTCAGATGATTCTAATAGGCAGCCAGGCCTGAGAACCACTGCCTCTGGACGGTGATGGGGCTGTTTTGGCCTGAATTAGCTAGATAAACCTCTTCCCACTCTGGAGAACCGATCTAACCTCAATACATATTAATTACTTCTGGCTCTTTGTAGCTACAGTGATGATTAGTAATGAGTCTGAAAGACAATTTTGCCTGAGTTTTTACAAATGTAGAGTATGATTAGGACTTGCTTTTAACTCACCCATTCCCGGGAATTGTCATGTTGCCTCCTATGCTTTGGTCACTACTGGAATAAGTCAATAGGCAACTTCAAGGTGATAAATATATCTTTCCGGGGCAGTGAACATTTATGGGCAGGAGCTTTCCATGACAGCAATTTAGTCCAGTGGAAAAAAAATTACGATAAACATTTACAAAAGGAAATAAAATGAATTAGAAGTTTATTGTGTGTCAGGGGCTCTGTTAGGGGCTTAACATAGATGTCTGTCTTTAATCTTTTGGACACCAACTAGGAAGTTACATTAACATTCCAATTTTAAGAAAAAAAAATGAGTCTCAGCAAAATATACAGAGTTATACAATTGGTACACAACGGTATTAAGTTCAGATTCTAGAGCCTGAGCACTAATCATTGTGCTTTCCTAACAGCTAATTAGAACTTTTATATAACTTCTCCTTCATTGATTAAAAACACCTTTTCTTTAAACAGAGATTTATGCCTGGGTGTTGGATCACAAAACTTGTTCATCAGTTCCTTGCAAACTAAACGGCAAGCACCGGAAAAGAGTTCTTCAATGGTTGTGCATATAAAAGCACTGACAAATCAGGTCTCAGTCATTTCTGAAAAGGCGGAGTTGATTAATGGAGTCAGTGTGGAAAAGCTAAACAGAAATCAGAAGACCTGGCTGAAAACTACCTGTCATGCCATCTCTCTTCCTAAGGTGGATCATGTTGGTAATCAATGGAGAATTACATGTAAAAATGCTTTGCACAAAACACTACGCAAACTATTGTTAATTTCAGCTTTTTCTCAAGTTTAAGCACTCTGCTGGCATGTAACCAATAAATAATTTAATACCACAAAAATAATCAGGGTCGTCTCTTCCTAATAATTCTTCCTTTAAATTGCTTCTTCTTCAATTTTACTCTGTTCTAACGCCTAAAATGATATCACAGAAAACATCAGTAAGTCAAGAAACAAAGACCACAGCAGGAGGGAAAGCATTCAGTTCCAAACTGTTGGCTCTGATCAAAACTGTAAATTCCTGTCTCACAGATCACATATAAAAACCAGACCAATGTGAGGTTTTCGTGCCAATGTCATGAAAGCAAAAGCTTAGAACACCTGACTTCCTGAATTAATAAAAATCATGATTTTTATAAAGTTGTAGATTAAGGAAACATACCCAATACCTTACATATGCCATTAATACAGACATTTCTGCTGTTGCCACCTTCAAAGCAAGGGGTACCATCAATGACAGCATCCAGCATTTTCTCGGAAAACTGGCCATCTATGGGTCGGCAGTAGAGCTCACAAGGATGTGCTGGAGTGAAAAAGAGACAAATCCTTGCAAGTTAGCTTTTTTAGCTCAGCACCCTTCCTGCAGGATTATTTTTGTACATACTACCCCCCAAGAGTCGTTTATCTGGAGGTTCCCATCTTTCACCTTTCCTGTGACACATGCTGAAAGGCAGGCTTTTTTTTCTTTTTCCAGTTAAAGGGTTCTACAACAAATTAAATCTAGAAGATTGTTTAAAATGTTATGCCCTTTGTTATAAATGATGAGACCTTTCAATCAAACACTGAACTGTGCTTCTAAAGAGAAGGTGCGGAGCCTCTGGTGTTAACCTAGAAACGAAGTAAAAGCAACCACAGGACTCCAGACAAGCATGGCGCCTGCCCACCGTTTGCTGCAAAGTAAGTAGACCTCTAGGGAAGAGGCAGTCCCCTCCCACGGGGCCAGGTCTCTACGAACACTGCCACCACTATCATGACCCCACCACCAACGAACATCTTCCTTTGCTCTCCTCAAGTCCAAGAAGTCCTTGGACACAGATTTACAAACACAGAGAAACAGAAAGCCTGATTTTTTGCTGAAGCTGAAGCCAACGTGCTTACCGTAATGGTCTATCCCATTATGCTGGGTCCTACAATGAATATATTTTAGGGTTTAATTTTCTACTCCCTTGTGAATGAGGATGGGTTGATTTCCAGCACAAGAACTGTTCTAAAGATTTACTTAATAAAATATGTACCTATACATAGGTAAATACAGTAACCAGAAAGATAACTTTGAAAGCATAAATTGCCTTAAAAATTTTAATAGGTAATACCTGTGTATGATATGAAGAATTCATATAGTAATTTCCTTGTGAATGTTACATCTTGTTTTTTTTTTAATTGAAAAACCTGAGAATGTATTTTTCAGAAAGGTCTTTCTTGTGGGGAATCTCTTTTGGATCTGTTTATTGAGGAAGGACTTGAGTTTCTGGGGGGGGTGACCAGCTGAGAGCTCAATGAGACCAGCCATCGACCATATGCCATGGACCCACCCAGTGTGGATGCTAATACAAATACCCAGCTAACACAAAGCCAGAGTGTTCAACCCTAGGTATGGCTGCTCAAGAATGCAAGATCCATTTGGTAAAGAAATAAAAGTACAAAACACAAACATAACTAAGAGCAGAAGTTCTGGGCAAACTTGAGACAGAGGTCAAGAGCATCTGTTTAAAGCTTAGAGGACAAAGGTAAAAACAAAGGAAGCATACTGACTGATGTTATACAAAGAGCAGTGGATAAGTTGTCTGAGGAAATGAACAAAGTCAAAATGAGTTGGAGAGATCACAGCACAAAGCACCAATGGAAAAGGACCAGAAGACCCGGGGACAAAGCAAGACTTGGGATTATTGTAAACCTTTATTCCTGGCAATGTGATTAGCTCTGTCACTGCCTGAACCAGAACAGAAGGGACGTAGAGGGAGCCCCCTGGGTGCAGCTCTGCTCTCCTGGAGATGGGATCACCCATCCAGGTGTGCTGAGTCTGGGGAATCATTTCATGAAACACTGGGCTATTAAGTAGAAGGATGGAGGCAGGGGAAACACTGTTAAATAAGACTTTGATTTGAGCTTTAGAATTTGGATTTGAGATTTTGTATTTGGACACATAAAGCACAAAGAGAAAGCAGCTCTGAGTAATTCCGGAGCTTTTCTAAAGGAATTATCTGTTGCAGCCTGCTGGGAAGGGCTGGGACTAGAAATGAAGAGGCTGCAAAATTTAAGATGGTGCTCACTCTCAGGGGTTGTGTATAAATGGGTCCTCCTAGCAAGGAAATCCCCATCCAATGGCAAGTGTTGTACTGAATTCCAGACTGGTGAAGTTCCAACGGTTGCCTTAGTTTTACTCCCTCTGGGCTTGTACTATTTGACTCACTCCCTGAAGGAAAAAACTATCCAGAGACTTTCACTAGTCTTGTTTATATGGTGAGTTAAGAGGAATTTTGCTTAATAAAATAACAGCCAAGGGCGCCTGGGCGGCTCAGTTGGTTAAGCGACTGCCTTCGGCTCAGGTCATGATCCCGGGGTCCTGGGATCGAGTCCCACATCGGGCTCCCGGCTCAGCGGGAAGCCTGCTTCTCCCTCTCCCACTCCCCCTGCTTGTGTTCCTGCTCTCTCTGTCTCTGTCAAATAAATAAATTAAAAAAATTAAAAAAAAAAAACAGCCAATATATCATTTGCACACTCTTTCCCAGATCTTGTTGTGCTTCACAGCAGTGATCTCTCATTTTAACAGTCACAACCCCCCTATGGTGTTAGTTCTTTTATTATCACCATTTCATAGATAAGGCACAGAAAAATGGAGTTTCCCGAGATCTCACAGTGTGAGTGGTAGAGCTAAACCTGGTGCTTTAGCTTAGAGCCCACTCTACTATCCCCTAACCTACAGGCACAGAATTTTCTTTAACAAAAGCTCTCTGAAGTATCTACTCTTTAGGTTATTAGGCAATGCATTTATTTACAGCTCATATCTGAGGTGAGAACTTGGTAGAATTCCAGTGGGACTCCATTTTAATATTCTCTCACAGGGCTTAAATACAGAGAATCACCAGCCTCTGATTTCTACAGAGAGTGTATGTAAAATTTTAGCTCATGAAAGTCCAATATTTCCTTGAGAAAGTTACTAAAGCTTTCTGTGACTCAGTTTCTTCATCTGAAAAACGGGGATAATAATACCCACCTGGCAATGCAATTGGTGAGGGTTAAGACAGAGATCATATGTTGAGCACTCTGCATGGGATCTGGTATAACAGTAAGTGCTCGACAAATGGCAGTTATGATTGTTGTTTTCACCTCTTTACCATAAACTCTAGATGAATTCTAAAGGTCTTGGGGTTGCCCCACCATGCTATGCTTCTATCATTCCAATCTTCTCCTATAGCAGCCAAAAGACACATATTTTGTAATGCTGGTTCAGTTCTCCTTCCCACACAGACAAACCTTTCCTGAAATAGCCTCTTCTCCTTCAGATTATTCTGTTACACCACTTCTAATCAGTTCTACACTAAATCCAGACTTTGTGTTACTATTTCCTAAACAATTTCTGTCTTGTCAGTTTAGCATAAAAAATTCTAGATCCCTGCTAGATCAGCAGGTGGTTCCATGACTTTCCTTTACTGCCACTCTGGACCCGGTTCAAAGATGTTCTGCTCACACAGTAACTACTGAGGTCTTCACAGCTCTATGCTTTCGAGACTATGGATTTTACAAGCTCCTCAGCCAAGCTGCAATGTCCTCGAGGACACTTAGATCCTCTGTGCATTGACCGGCCATTATTGGCCAGCTCAGAATGTGGAGGAGGAGCCGTAAGACATGCTTGTTGAGGACTCAACTGCACAACAAAGGTGAGAATAAGCACAGTCCAGGGGATTCTGCTTCACACAGCTTGAACATCAGATCCCCAGGGATTCCAGTCTCGGCCATGACCCCTACATCTCACCCAAGGCCTCCTCGGTCTCTAGTCTGAGCAGTGGGCTTGTCCGAGAATGATATTAAAACCTCTAATGGGGTATCTGGCACAGGGTGGTTGTTTAGATGTGGCAAGTTATTACCATTAACCTTTCCCAATGAATACTAGCAGGCCGTTACCCCTAGAAAAGGCTCCTAACGCATGTTTACTAATTAACAGACATGACAGAGGTCAACACTGTTAGGGAGAAAATTTGGGACCAAGTGGCAAAGAGATCATCTCGATCCGGAGAGAGAATCAACTCAGTCATAAAACTGAACCTTGACCTTAGTGATAGAAGTCAAGGGTGTTCATTGCAGCATTAAAGGTTTATCCAGAGAGAAAAGGACGGATCAATGAAGTTGTACTCATATAATGTTGTTTAGTTTATTCACAGACTCAGTATGCAGTCACTACAAGGAATGAAGTAAGCTGTAATATTATGACATTCTGCTAATGAATAAAGAAAGTTGCAAGACTAGCAAGGTATGGTTTCATCTTGTGTGCAAACTAAAACCTGCTGTTAACAATGGTTGCCTCTAAGGAATAAGTTAAGCATGGTGGGATAGTAATTTATTTTTATTTCATTCTATTATGTACACTTGCATGTTTTTTAAGGAAACATACATTCCTTTTAAAAATAACATCTTAGTCATCAGAAAGGATGACTACCCACCATTTGCATCGACATGAATGGAACTGGAAGGGATTATGCTAAGTGAAATAAGTCAAACAGAAAAAGACAATTATCACACCGTTTCACTTATTTGTGGAACATAAAGAATAGCATGGAGGACGTTAGGAGAAGGAAGGGAAAAATGAAGGGGGGGAATCGGAGGGGGAGACGAACCATGAGAGACTATGGATTCCAGGAAACAAACTGAGGGTTTCAGAGGGGAGGGGGGTGGGGGGATGGGTTAGCCTGGTGATGGGTATTAAGGAGGGCACGTATTGCAATGAGCACTGGGTGTTATATGCAAACAATGCAAACATGGAACACTGTATCAAAAACTAACGGGGTTTTTGAGGTACTGTATGGTGACTAACATAAAATAATAAAATAAAAAAAAATAATGTCTTGGCTATCCAACGAGAACACTGGAAAGGTCTCCTTTCTTCTGTATAATAACACATCTCCATGAAGAGAGGCCCTCCTTTTAGGACTTCTTTTCATTTTCCTTATGTAACACATGACTAATATATCCTTCAAGGTCAGACAGGTTAGTTCAAGTCTACTTCATGTAAGAAACACAAATTTCTACCGAATCTAAGCACAGTGGTCCATGGAGTCTTAGGAATAATCTAATAAAGAATCTCCTCTGGCCTTCGTCTTCCATGGTGCTTTGGGTATGTCATTAGGTTGGCCTAGGACATGGGCCTCTGCAGAAGGAGACAGGAGTAGCAATAGATGCTCTTAGTTCTCCATGGTCATCATGAGTATCAGAGAGTCTATCCCAACCTCATGGATTTCAGAACATCCACAGAGTTGAGTATTTTCACTCAGATTTATTCATCTGCCCTGACACACCCTTTGGATCATA